AAACTTTAAAATTATGAGATTAACTATTAGGGTTATATTAGGCCTAACTCTGACTCTGATACATTGGCTCAGATTTAAAAAATGACAATACATTTACTGCAATGATACTATTTTTAAATGCAGAATTTTTACTTTGTATTGTTTTACTGTGTCAGTAATGCAAGTTTATTTAGGCCCTCAATGATTTTCAATGACTTGAGGTGACAGTGCTGTGCACAAAATGTTGCGTGATATGTTGCGTGCTGTGCACAATACGTGAGCGCGATAAAATTATATTATAGCCTATAGTTTGTTTTATACATACTTTATAATATCATGGAAATTGTACATATGTAGGCCTGTTTATTTTTTAACGTCTCCTACAAATTAAACATCACGGTCCCCTGGTTGGTACTCTTTCTAAAGCAGAAAAAAAAACAGGATCAAAGTAGAGATGGATAAGTAATTGAATTCTTACTTGAAATAACATTTTATTCAAAAATATATTTATATATATATTTCATTTTTACATTTCATAACTTAACAAAGAAATGTACAAATTACAATTTATTATTTTACATTTATGAACTTTCATACACTTTCCTAGAATACTTTTTACATGACACTGTTAACAGTTAAAAAAATAAATATTAAAATCTACATTTTGTTTAAGTACTTAGCTAACATTTTTAAGCGTTTGCAATGATGGTTCAAGTGTCAGATTTTAATACTAGATGTTGAAAATCTCAAACGTCTGCTCTTAGATTGATTGCAATGCATTACTAGGCAGCAAGTAAACCATCTTATACATACAGTATGTAAATTGAACTTTCACATTTATACCCTATTGAAACTTGTTGAACTGTAAAAATACTGCCTTAAATAAAGTATTTTGATAAGCTAACTAAATTAAATACTTTTCACAATTTCATTTTCATTTATAAGGCACTTATATATTCTTCATAAAATGCAAAGAATAATTCACACGAACTTATTGAAATATCCTACATGCATTTCATAAAGTTGATAAATACTCAATAGTTTATAAATAAAACCAAAGTATGCTACCTTATAATTAGCACCCTTTTGTTGGCACATTTGCACATTTGAAGGCTATAAGCGATTGCTGTGTGTAGTAAGTTATGTCAGGTAAAAATTAAAATACTGTTAGAAATGGCTGCTGATTAATTTTTTTTTTTATTTGTCCAATTTTATATAATTATTCAAATATTGTGTGTTTATGTCTTAGCTAACCTATGTTACTATTTTACTTCATATCAGTTTTGTTATTCTATTCTTCAACTATTGTTACTAATAAATTGGCACAAAAAATAAATCAAACTAAAAGGTGGATGAGTTAGAATATAAATATTTTAGTAAGATAATAATGGGAGAAGGGCAATTAGATTTATGAATTTATTTTCCTTAAACATCTTTTCCTCTCCTCTATGTACAAATTCAACTACGGTTTTAGTAAATCACAGTAACATTTAAATCAAATAATATACTATTATTTCTAAAAAAAAGTATTAAAACAAACATATTTTGCATTTTAGATTTTTTTAATGAGTATAAATTATTTTAACTAGGCTACTCCAACATGGAATACCAATTAATCATAAAAAGATTTTTTAAATTAAATTGTATGCATCGCTATTGAACAAACTAAACCATCCTTTAGATTGAAATATTCATATAGTGCTATTAATCATAGTTAAATATTTTCCATTGTTAATATTGAACACAATATTGAATAAAATATGAACATAACTAAACAGCGGATGATTATTTTCAAATTTTTATAGACATAAGTTTTAACTTGACTTAAAAGTGTCAACTTGTTATGTACTGTTCTTTGTATACTTATATGCATCTTTTAATATTAAATCCTTAATATATCTTAATATATTTTTTAATATAGAATTGAGTTTAGGATTTCACATCAGAAATAGATAAAACTTTTGAAGTTCAGACAAAGTTATGAGAATAATTGTTTATCACAAAAGGTACCATGCAAACAAATTTAAAAATAATAATAATTTATTGTTCCCTATAAGCATATGTTAAAACACTAATAAATAAGGGCCAGGACAATTTTAAAAACTTCTGCAGTAAAAATGTTGAGCATACCTACAAAAAATAAATACTTAAAATTTATTTTGGATATCCCAGGTATCCTTAGACTTAGGAGAAAACACCAATTTACATGGATCAAATGCTGTATTACCTTCCCAAATAATTTAAAAAAATTAGTTAAAAGAGCATTGCTATTTTTTTTAACAGACAAAACACGTTAAAGGATTAATGAATTCTTGGCCAATTCCATAGAAGGGTAGAAGGGTAATACAGTATAGCCTCAGCCTATTTCTATTTTTAACCTTCCAGAGGTCGCATCACGGAAGTAACCTCCAGGGATGTTTTATTTTTCGCGATTATATTATTTTGAGTGGTGTCGGCAGTGTGAGTGTCACTGTACCTCACGCACCTCATTCCTAGAATCGAGTTAAGGTCAAAACTCACCCCTACTATATTATATTTGTTAGTTTTTTTCAGTTTTGTAAGGGGCTGGAAGTAGCTTCCGTGTGCGCTCTGCCGATTCTTGTACAGCCTGGAGGCAACTTCCGTGATGCGACCTCTAGATCAGTGTGTGCGTTGACTATTGTGTATAAATAATTACTGTAAATAATTATTTTTTTACAATTTGTGACATTATTTAGTAAATGTATAGTTTTTACAAGATGAGTGAAGAAGTTAAATTTCGAATCGCAACACTCTTAGTCAGAGCTGAAAGGGAGATGATTCACAAACGACGATTGTACAGTCATTTAGTATTAAGATATCCATTATGTTAAATTACTTAAAACATCAGGTATTGTGTTATCATCTAGAACCACATTATAGGACATTGTGGTCAAATTTAAATTAACTTCTTGAATATATTCTTGTAAAAGATTTCTTCATATACTTTTATGTTACAACATTTGATAGAATAATAGTTTAATTTTATATTTATAAAATCTAATTAAGTTATTTTATAATTAAGAGTTTACTAATCACATTTTTGATGTTCAAAACTAATAATAAAACTTAATTTGTGCCCTAAAATACAGATTTCACTTCATAAATGATTGTTTTTATTGACCTGGAAGTAACCTCCAGGTGCGCCCTCTAGCGTTTTGAAAACCAATGCGCCCTCTGAAAGGTTAAATAAATTGATTCAACTATCCACCAATTGATTTTATTATCCACCAAAAATACTTTTACCGACGGAGTTTTAAAATATTTAACATTTGTTGGTTGGTATATCACATAACATCGCCTGTTTTGCATCAGAGTTACATGTGTACCATTCATGTAACAATAACGATTGATTTTTAGGTGAACCATTTCCTTTTTTAACTCTCTTGAGCTATTAAGTACTTAGTTTTAATATCTGATTGGTATTTTAGTTTCAATATCTGATGAACAGTTGATATGCCCAAATGGAGAAGGTTTAGTTGATTGAACATTTTGTATTCAATAGATTTTTTTCCAAAAGTGGGAGCGTTTACCTGATAGTTTGAATGTCAAAACAACTACAGCTGAAACTGTGTTTTAAAATTAGATTCACAAACCATTTCCGTATTGTAGCCATTATATGGAAGTCTACAAATCCACTGAGTAAAAAAAACAAAAAAAATCAGTAGATAAAAAATAAAAGTCACCGTGGCATTATTGTGGAAGAGACATGGAATGGTCATACAGTATTGAGCATACAAACAATGTGCATGGATAAATTATTGATTGTATTAAAATATTTGTTCCATTATAAAGAGAAATATTATTGAACTTTTTTTTCATGAGGAAGAAAAAGGTAAAGCTCTAACACAAATCAGTTGTATTGTATGATACACAAATTCAAATCACCTCTAAACCAGTACTGAATTGAAATGCAAGGAAAGGTCCACCCATGTTTTAAAGTAATAAGATTATTCGGTGGTGAATTTGCAGCTGTTAAAACGATTGGTTGGCCAAAAATCTACCAACTTTTGCTAAACAGGAATGAATCGTAAATGCATTAAGAGACTTATTGCTCTGTTACCAAAGAAAATATGGTAATCATGTTCAACTTTAACCCTAGTGATGGTGGCTTGATTTTTATCACACATTTAGTACATTTAGTAGTAAAGCACATTTAGTAGAACGTATTATACATTTATCAAAAGTTGATCAAGTAAAACCTTTCTGAAAAAACTGTTTTTTAATTATTAAAGCCTTTACTGATACGTTATGAAAGTTTATGGACTAGTTAATGTAAAAAAAAAAAAAAAAAAAAAAACATAAACCATCAATTCCGTCTATTTTTAACGTTTAAATGATACTTCAAACAATGCTTTTTTTACCCATAAAGTAATGACGACTTTGATTAGCCTACACCTTTGCTGTCTTTAGACTGCGAGACCGTCGTATTAAAAAAATATTTGATGTAAATAACTATGCAAATACAAGATATAAACTATAAAATGATTACTAATATCTTTGACTAGTCAATGCTACTATGTAATTTTACATTATAGTATTATACATAGTATTACATTATGTATAGTACTATTTTTCATTTTAGATGTCTTCAGTCTGGTTGACCAATCACACCTTAAGTGTATTTGGTGTAGGGAACCGAAGTACACAATCGCAGACGAATCTGTAACCTTAAAATTACGCCCTCGTGTCTGGTGGTACACTGAGTCGAGGTAGGAGGGTAGCAGGAGACACAAGTCCAGCACCCTAGCGGGGGGGGGGGGGGGGCATGAACTTGAAAATATTACGTCATCGGACTCACAGACCGAAAGACACCATTCCAGGGTTAAAGATGGTTTATAATATACATTTATATCCATTCAAATTAGTGAATTTACTTAATTAAACTAATCCTTTACATGGAGCCTAATAGTAGTTTACTAAAATATTAAAAATTCAAATTTGAAATTGTAAAATAATACAAAATAAAATGTAAATTTCCAAAGCTATAAAAATTAATAAGGTATCATTAACTCATTATTAAGCGTACATATTCAAGGTGGTTTGAATTTGGAATTAAACTATAGATAGTAAAATTATGTAACGGTTAAATATTAACTAATTGTAAATGATAATACACACAGCAATTGAATTGACATTGTATTTATAACAAATTAAACACTTTGGTTTATTACAAAATCACAACCTTGGTTCTTAATAGCAACAAGCTAGAAAATTACAAGCTAAGCTCAATGCTACAAGAACTAAAGGAAACAAGAAATCCAAACAATATTACAATAAATAAACCATATTAATTTAACAAATTGAAACCTTAAAGCTATTAGAAAAAACAGAATGCTATCAAGAATAATTCATAGTAAAACACTTCTATGGAACTAACTGCACAAAGCTTGAATAGTAAGAACAATTGCCATAGCACAACAAACACTATTCATTGAGTAGGTATGTTTTCTGAAAATTTAGCACCTTCCAGAACAATAGTGCACTACAATTACGATATATGAAATTAGAAGCATACAGTAACAATTTTATTCATAGTGTGGACCTGATTCAAAACTTAGGCTATTATTTGTTTAACAAAGAGATCTTAACTGTACCTAAAAAACGATGGGATATGTAAACATTAGATGCCAACACTATTATTTCTCATCTTTCAGTACAGCAAAACGATTAACAAACACAGCAGAGCTTTTGGTAACTAATCATCTCTTTATATTAAATCTATTTATGTAGTGAGAAAAATAAAACTTAAGTCAACTTGTTAAGATAAATAAAATAAAAATACTTCACATAACAAAAATTCATGAGTAAACATTATTTAACCAAGCAAAGGAAATTTTCAAAAAAGCCAAATTGAGAAAAAAGTATGAATTTTGGCTTTAAAAAAGTAAACACATGTTTTGTAATGAGTTAGGTTCGTTTAGATTATCAATACTAAAAAATATTAACTGTGGATTGGTTCTGATAATTTAGTTTCTAATATTTTTACTGAGTTTTGAGCTTAAAATTCACTTTCATTAATTAAGCTCTGCTGTAAATGTTTTAGCTTGTAAACATTTGCAAGCTTTGCTTATATTTAGAACATTACACTCTTCTATGCCAAAGAAAATAATGAACATTGAACAAAATTAAAAATATTAAATGAAATAAATGCTAGGGTATTCTTCATTGAAGAAAATATCCCTTTCTAAAAACTAAGATAAAATTTCTAGAAACAAAAAACTGACAGTTGCAACATTATTCTTCGGTTAAGAGTCCAAACTGTATTGCTTTAGCTACGCGGATCCAATAAGTTCCCTGAAAAATGATATATAAATAAAGTTGTGAAAATCCAACTTAAATATTTGTTATGTAACAAGAAATAAATGCATGACTAAATGAACTTGTAGAATTTTAACAAGGATAAACCTTCCTAGACGAGCAAAAATTTGGAAACTGGAAAAAAATATTTTCTGGCATTTTTATTATACATTTCCATTTTAAATAAACATGAAAAATGACCTCTTAGTGCAACAATAATTTTTTTACCACCAAAAATGGTGCAGGTACAAAGCAGAACCTTGGTACTGATAAATTGTGGATATATCCGCAACCCTTTACAAAATATAACCAACAGGTTCAGAATCAAGGATTTAATATTGAAAGTAAAAATATAACATTAAGCAATAAATTTGAACAATATTTGTATTTTAGAAAGATGTGCATATAAAAAGTGAACATGGTGCACATAAACAAATTAAAGCTTTAGCACTGAGAAGCGCGATATAGCCAACGTTCATAGTCAAAGCGCTTCTGCAGTGTCATAGAAGCAAGAACCATCTGGTTACTGTACCAGATCTGGGGACCAACCAGGCTGTCTACAGAATATACACTTACCATCTGCAACATCTATAACATCCGTCACCCGTCTAGGAAGGGTTAATATAGGCCTACTGTTACTTTTGGTCAACAATATTTTAGTATACTTCAAAATTAAGTTTCCTTTTATCTAACAATAAAGTTAAGATTACCTGACATTTAAAAATTTTTAAGACATATTAGGGCCTATGCATTTAATAAAATGTTGTAATTGCTCATGAATATACTTACGAACTTAGTTCTCTGCTGACCAAGCCTGTTCGGGAACGGCTTCGATTTAACTGAGCTCTTCGTTCGGCTGAATCAAAAATATTAATTATCAGTACGCTTTAAAGGTGTTATTAATATGAAAACAACAAAAGTTAAAAATGTAGGTAAAAAAATATAGAGCTATAGGTAGGACTACTTGAGTGAGGAGGTTTCAAGCACTTTGGAAGCCATCAAGCTTTAGTCCTAGGGCATTATTTAATGAGGATAAAATGGATATTATGGATCAAAGTTTCTAAAGTCATGTCTCAGTTTCATATTTAATACAAAAATACATTAACTTTTATACCTGTCCTGCCCTATTTATCTGTTAAAAATAATAACAATAACGAGTGCACACTCAAAAACATGCAGGGTAATGTTAGTAAAGGAATATATTAATTGGGAAGTAATTAATGAAAAATGTATACACCGCAAAGTAAAATTGTATGTTTGCAAAAGCTGTTTCCAAGTAAGTGGTAGGTGGTTGTACTATTCGCCAGTTTATCAAGCGTAAAACAATCCACATCAAATTTCATGAATACCAGTAACAAAAAAAAAAAAGTTTCTAAGATTGCAAACAATGAGTAAACAAACCGCTGGTGCATTTTTATTTGGCAACATAAAAAGACATTCTTGGTAGTACAAAGTATGAAATTACAAACAACACTGTCACAACAACAGACAACAAATTTAAACTTGCCTTAGATCACCAACCAAGATTTTAAAATTTAACAATATCGTGATCTCCGATTGAATACTTCGAAAGGTTTTACATCTAGGAACAAAAGATTATTATAGGAAAAATTTTTAATGACAGGGATTCAAAATTAGATCAAATAGTAAGAAACAAAACTTAATGCAATGGTAATTGATAGTAAATTTACTCTTAAAGAGTCTTCATCACCCTCGGTGTAGTTGTGTTTTGGGGATATAGGCCTTGGGGGGAAGGTGTTGAGGATGGGCGGGTAGCGCGGGGTCATTATGCGTGCCATTCTGAAAACATCGTAAACACACGACTACTAAAACGACACGTTGGTGACTCATCTACCACTTGAGCCAAGTTTTGTAAAAGGCTAGTACGTAGCGCAGTAGCCTCCGACATTTCAATTTTTTACCCCGTTTCGGACGCTGTTTTTGAACAGATTTTCTTGAAACTTTGTAACATAACAATGTAGTTGAATAGTTATATTAGACCTCTTAATACCTCAACAAATTTGAAATGAAAAAAAGTGTTTAATCAATGTTTAAAAGTAACTCAATTTACGTTACTTTAAAGATTTTTTCCTACATATACAATAAATTTTTATGGTTATATCAGGCCCTCGAACCAACATTAATCTGTAGGGGAAAAAGTTTCAACATTAGATCTTTAAAAATTCCATCAGGAGGGAGAGACTTCTTAGCTTAGGCAAGTTTTTAGTGTTTTTGCAGGGGTGAAGAAGACTCTTAAAAACGTCTAAGTCTTTAGCAACTAACATTTTACCAATACTTTATCCTGTAAATGTGCAAACCTTTTTGAACATAGGGAATTTCAGGAAAGTGCAAACCCTTAACCTATAGGGAACTTCAGGGATCATGGAGCATGAGGTATTTCCTGAGAAAAAAAAAATCACAAATATTATATGTAAGATTATTATAAAACATAATGGATTATAAAGAATATACATTTTCAATATAATATGTGGCTGGGCTAAAATACAGTAGTTTTTTTTTATTTCTATGCAAAAAAAATCAGCTGGTGTTGAGGACTTCAGCTCTGTACATTATCACAACTATAAAATTTGTCTGCTGGTTTTGTCAAAGAAAAGAACCTCAATAAATTAATATATTTCTGTATCATTATAAACAAGCATTTGTGTTTAAAATTATTGTGTTATATTGTATATTTATTTAAAGATTTGCCTCTTTATCAACATTTAGACAAATTGAAATATAAAAGAATGTGATAATCACATATGATTTTATTATTACGTCAGTAAAGCAATAAATATTGCATCAAAATAACAGTGACAGCTCCACAAGATAAATGATATATGATATCAAAACAAGAAGTAAACCATTTTGGGGTCTGATTTATAAAGGCAAACAATGTACAGCTTAAAGAATGGGGCAGTATGGCAAACAATATACAGGATGACACACGGGAGACGGATGGTCTTCATCTGCGTAGTACCGCACATAGTGGTAGTACTGAGATTGCGGTGGTGGGAGGTGGCCGTGGTGGGCATAGTTCTGTTCTACACAAGATGCCATTTCACATACTCAGTCACTATGGAACAGTGGGTCTTGCAACATTGATTGTGAGATGGACTTTAACTATGGCAGTTTAAACAACATCTTTTATATTTCAATATATCTTTAAACAATAAAAAAATGCCATCAGAGTCATTGCAGGCACCAGCTCAAGAAAATCATGTAGATCCAGTTAAAAAAAATTCAAACTTTTGACCCTTCCTGCTTTTTATATTTTACAGTTGGCACTTTTAATTAAAAACAACCTTTGTATATTTGAAAACTGTAAATAACTCATAATTATTAAACTACACATATACAACTTTTGGAAATTTCAAGCCACAGATTAGCTTTGATTCACAATGGGACCTTATTATCAATGCATACAAGTCTACAACAAATTGTTCTTTTATTTCACAGACCAGTCTTTGAGCTTTAATAATTAAAAAGACACTTTTACAAAAATTGATTGCACTTTGTTCTTATGATATGAATTCATTTTTATCCTGTCAACTGTAACCTTAATATTTATATATATTTATTACGTGTAAACTATTTATAATGCATGATTTGTACTGACATGTCACATATCCATTGCTGATATTCAGCCTCTGTAATGTGAGTTTTTTGTGATGAATAAATTGAATTGAATGAGAAGTGGTGTGTCTATTACAGCTACACAGCGATTGTTTTGTGCACGACTTAATGTCGGTCAACATTGACCTGTTCCGAGCTGTAACACAATCCACAGATGGGTGAAAAATTTCAGATTGACTGGAAACATACTGGATAAGAAGCATCCTGGCCCAAAACGCTTTGTAACGACACCAGAAAATGTTGAAAGGGTAAAGGAAGAGGTAGTCAGAAGCCCAAGACGGTCAGCTAGACGTTATGCTAGTGAGCTACGAGTTAATCATAAATCTGTTGGACAAAGTTTGAATCCAGTATGTTTCCAGTCAATCTGAAATTTGTCACCCATCTGAGGATTATGTTATGGCTTGGAACAGCTCAATGTCGACCGACATTAACCCATGCACGAAACAATCGCTGTGTAGCTGTCACCACCTCTCATTAAACTGCCATAGCCAAACAATCAATGTTACAAGCCCCACTGTTCCATAGTGACTGAGTATATGACACGGTGTCTTGTGTAGAGCAGAACTATACCCACTACGACCACCTCCCACCACCGCACTCTCAGTACTACGCAGATGAAAACCGCCCGTCTCCCTTGTATCACCCTGTAGTTCATAGCAAAGGGGAAAAAATTCTTTTAGGCCCTCCCTCATTTCTTGATTTCTGCTTCGCCTCAGTTGTTACAATTAAGCTTGGGCCAAAAAAAGTAACTGTAAGCCCTATTGTAATATACTTTTAAGTTTTGGAACATTAAATAGTAATTTCCATAATGTACCAAAATATGTTCCAATTTATAGTTTTGGAACATTTTCCAATAATATTTTTCCATGGAAGAAGGAATAGTTTTTGAGCATAGGTCCACCAAAATATGTAGTAGGCCTAGGCCTATTGCTTTTCCTTTAATATAAATAAAAATACATTAATTTGGTTATAAAAATATAAAGAAATTATAAGTAACTTACCACCATCCACCCTAGGCCTTTGTTGCCGTTTGCGGCGCTGATCTCTACTGAAGGCTGAGCCAGTTTGCAAAGCCTCCAGGAGACTGTCCATAACACCCTCCTGGTTACCGTCCTTAGTCATATCAACCAACGCCCTCTTCCTCTCGGCTCTCATAGCCCTGTCCATCTCATCCTTCTCTCTAGCTTCCCTCGCACGTCTAGACTTCTCCTCCGCCTCTCTTGCCAGTACATTCTGTTTGTGGGCTTGCTAAAACAGGAAAGAGCCATTGATGAGCATCATCGTACAACAGAGAACAAGTAGAAATTTCTTCCAGCACCATTTCTTGGCTATTGTCTTTTCTATTTGTCTGTTTAGTCTCTGCACGATAGAAGCTGAACGCAGCATTTGTCCAGACAACTTAATATTCGTTTTTTTAGGCCTAGTGTATGTGGATGATGTTCAACTATACTCAGTTTGATAGAGCATTTTATCTTAAAAATTTCAATGAACATTTTATTCGAAAAATCTAACACAAAGTTAGTTTGATAAACTGAAAAAATCCCCATTTAGTCTTGCACATAAACCCTTAGCCTATATTATAACCTCGTTAACAGTTGTATTGTAAAAAAGATCGCAGTTGGAAGACTGTTACTAGTGTTGCCACTAGACAAAAATGTTTACTAGACTAAATTAGAAAAATTATCTATACGTCATATCCACACATGATCAATGAACAAATAATCGTCAACAAATTTTAGAAAACGAAAGATTTTTCTTTCACTGCTCGATAGGTATATTTTCAAGGTGTATGAGAACATCTGTATTTTTATCGATTTCCTTCTCGGGGGCTCTGTTACTGGTCTCCGGTGTAGCTTGGTATTGATTAGTGATGGGGGGATCCAAGAAAATTTCGGTACCGGATCCGGATCTGGATCTTGAAAATTTCGGATCCGGATCTAGATACACACTGTCATAAGGGCGGGTTAAAAAAACGTAATTGACAGAATGCCAATTTAAATCATACTGTTTAAAATTAAATTGGTAATGTTTAAAGGTTAATATATCTTATATATAGAGTAATCTCCAGTTGAGCCCATAGTCCCTCATTTTTTGGGGACCCTAAAACTTTTCAAAATCTTAAAATGAAACTAATGTGCTAAGTTTGCACGACCACCAAAAGGATATCTGAGTATATTTTACAATAGTTCGATCTTGAGAATGCTATATCATGGTTTGTGCATGCAGCATCCAATTTATTTATGCCTGGATCACATCTTGTTAATCTCTTCCTTAAATTCGTTCCAGGTCCACAGTACTGATAGCCGGGTATGTGAAGTTATACAGGTAAAATACCCTGTGTCTGTGTACAAGAAGACTATACTGTGTTTTTATTCACTCTGAATGTACACAGAAAATCTTCTTGTACACAGACACAGGGTATTTTACCTGTAGAATTTCACATACCCGGCTATCAGTACTGTGGACCTGGAACGAATTAAAGGAAGAGATAAGCAAGGGGTGGAATGATCCAGGCATAAATAAATTGGATGCTGCACTCAAAAACCACGACCACGATATAGCATACTCAAGATCGAAGGTAGGGATGACGTTGTTATATACAGTACTGTGACATTGCCTGACCATAGAGATTATTGACGTCGTAATATACAGTACTGTGACATTGACTAACCATAGAGATTATTGAAGTGGTAATATACAGTACTGTGACATTAACTAACCATAGAGATTATTGACGTTGTAATATACAGTACTGTAACATTGCCTAACCATAGAGGTTATTGACCTCGTAATATACAGTATGACATTGCCTAACCATAGAGGTTATTGACCTCGTAATATACAGTACTGTGACATTGCCTAACCATAGAGATTATTGACGTCGCCAATATACAGTACTGTAACATTGCCTAACCATAGAGGTCATTGATATTGAAATAATTTTTTATTTAGTCTGCAAATGAACAAAAGGTTTTTAAGTAAATTATAACATATGGTTTATTGTTTTTATAATGTTTGTTTACTTGTTGTAATGTATTCAGTTTGTGATTTTGTCAGTGAAAATACAAGAAATTATTTTTGTTAAAAGCAGAGTTTTATTTAAAGAGAAGTAGTTTACAAAGACAATGGTTATGGACCCAGACACACTTTATCTTATGATGTATTAAATTTGTTTGTAAAGAAAATGGATATTACTAAGATAAAAATTTCACCTTTGGAAAGCAAGAAGAATTGGACTGCATGGAAGTACAAAATAAAGGCATTGTTAAGAACTGTACCTGATGCATTGGAAGTTGTTGAAGGGGAAATCACCAAGCCCCTAATCGTACCGCCTGAAGCATCGGTAGCAGTAAAACGAAAATATGAAGAAGATTTAGCTCAATATAACAAGTTAGATGGTACAGCTCTGATTATCATAACAACCAACTTAAGTGATGCTAATCTAGAAAAGGTTTTACGATTCCAAACAGCAAGAGAGGTATGGGCTGAACTTCGTAAGATTTTTGAAGAGAGATCAGAAGACAAAATAAATGATCTTGGTCTGCAGTTCTTTCAGCATAAGAAATTTGAAAGTGATGATATATCTACTCATCTGAGTAAATTAAAACAGATATGGTATGATATGCAAAAAGAACTTGTGAATGAACATATCACTGCTTTGCCTGATTTTTTGCTCATCTGTAAGGTATTAGGGACTTTGCCCGATAATTATTTGAATTTTAGATCCAGTTGGGTTTTGCTGTCCAAGCACGAAAAGAACATTGAAAACTTAACGGAGCAGTTGTGTGCCTTTGAGAGAACTTTAAAAGAAAAAGAAGATACTGAAGTGGAAGCTTTGGTATCAAGAGGATATCATAAGAAAAATGACAAAAAAGAAGCCCCTGCCGTGGAAACTTTGGGTTCAAGGGGATACCAAAGAAAAGCCGATGGCAACAGGAAATTGATCTGTTATAACTGCAATGAAATTGGACACATAGCAAGACATTGTAGAAAACAAGAAAAGAGGGTGTTTAGTAAGTCAACAGAAATTTCAAACTTTGATACAGTCGAAGATGATCAATGTCTTTTGCTCTCAGAAAAATCTTTGAATCATTCGAAAAACTGTGAAGATTGGTTTGTTGACAATGGTGCAACTAATTATGTTACTAATATGGGGCAAAGTTTCCTAAGGTTTGAAAAGTTTACAGAGCCTCATGGTATTCTTGGTGCTGGAGGACAAGTATTAGAGGCAATTGGTAAGGGTGACATAGCTTGTGACTTGTGAGTCAACCATCATGGGAGTTACAAGAAATTTTACACTGGCGAATGTTTGGTACGTACCAAATGTTAGGAAAAACCTTTTTTCAGTGTTATCTGCTCATGATAAGAACTCTAATAGCTTTTTCGAGTCCAACAAAAATCAATGTAAATTCTATGTAAATGGACAAGAGATTGTGAGAGGTTACCGGGAGATGCATGGTGCCATATTTAAATTAAACTTAAAATTTAAACGTGTTTGTAATGAGGTATATTCTGTAGGCACGAATAAATCCAACTTGCTTCAGTTGTATCATGAAAGATTTGGGCATCAGAACAAGAAACATGTTAGTGAAGTAATTCAGCAAAATTTAGGTGTCTCGGTTGGATTGGACGATAGGATTTGTCAAGGATGTATGAATGGGAAACTGCATAGACTGCCTTTCGGGGAAAGACATCGTCCCAGCGTACCTGGAGAAATCATACGTTCTGATGTGTGTGGTCCTTTCCAAGTTCCATCATATCAAGGTCGAAGTATTTTGTATTGTTTAAAGATGATTTTTCACGATTTAGGTATATCTATTGTATTAAAGAAAAATCTGATGTTGCCTCAGCTATCAAAAGATTTTTGGCCGAAGTTGAAGCTGCAGGGCATGTTGTAAAGCAATTTTCTTGTGACAATGGAGGTGAATTTAAGAATAAGGAGGTGAGTAACATATTTCATCAAAAAGGTATAAGGCAAGTATTCACAATGCCTTACACACCACAACAAAATGGTTCAAGTGAACCTGACAACAGGACAATAGTAGAAATGGCTAGATGTATGTTCCACTCACAGCATGAAGCTATGCCTCAAAATCTGTGGGCAGAGTTAGTCACAACAGCTGTTTACATTCTGAATAGAACGGGTCCAACAACGATAAAAGAGATGTCACCATATGAATTGTGGTATGGGAAGAAGCCAAACATTAATCAGTTGAGAATAGTTGGTTGCAAATGTTTTGTACATGTACCCAAAGAGAACAGAAGGAAGATGGACTCTTCAAAAGCTGTGGAAGGAGTTCTAATTGGGTTTGAAGATAATGGCTACAGGATTTGGGGTAAAAATGAAAAGCTTATTAGATCAAGAGATGTGGTTTTTGAAGAGATTCCTCTAATCACTCGTGGTATTGATAATTGTTCCAATCAAGAAAGGAACTCATGTGACAAAAGTTCTCACACTGAAGAGATTAAAGACGTTGACAGCTCAACTTCTCAGATCAAGCAGAAGTCGGATCAGTCTTTTGGGGAAGAAAATGAGTTACCGCGAAAAGATTATTCTATTAATCTAAGGGACAGGAGTACTATCAAACAACCACCAAAACTGTCTGATTATGTAGCACTAGCAGAGGTAATGTGCTCGGATCATATTACTCCAAAATCATTCACAGAAGCAATTACAAGTTCTGATGCTTCTGATTGGAAAAGTGCTATTCAAGATGAAATCGACTCATTTGAAAGAAAGAGATGTTTGGGAATTGACAGACTTACCTGAAGGAAAATCGGTGTTGCCGTGTAAATGGGTATATAAGATAAAATTACATGCAGATGGTTCGGTGGATCGGTTCAAAGCCAGACTTGTAGCTAAAGGATTTAACCAAAAGGAAGGTGAAGATTTTAATGAAATTTTTAGTCCAGTAGCTAGAATGGGGACAGTGAGATCAGTGTTAAGCATTGCAGCAAACGAGAACATGTTTATAAAACAATTTGATGTCACAACTGCATTTCTTTATGGTGATTTGGAAGAAGAAATTTACATAAAACAGCCAGAGGGTTTTGAAGATGGGTCTGGTCAATACTGTAAGTTGAAGAAAAGTTTATATGGGTTGAAACAAGCGCCGCGTTGTTGGAATGAAAAATTTAGCAACTGTCTAAAAGAAAATGGTTTTAATAGTAGCACAGAAGATCCATGCCTTTTTCATAAGAATGGGAGTGAAGGAAAAGTCATAGTTATTTTATATGTTGATGATGGTTTAGTAGCTGCTACCTCGGAATCTGAAATAGATGTTTTTTTTTCGAAATGGTAGGTAAGGAATACAAGATCAAAACCATGAATGCTTCACACTTCTTGGGACTTGAAATTTTGAAGGAACAAGATGGTTCAATTACTCTTAGTCAAGCAGGCTACACTAAGAGACTGTTAGAGAAATTCAACATGTACGATTGTAACCCTGGAAGAACTCTAATTGGTTTGGAAAATTTACAGATAGGAAAAGAAGTTGAACTAAAGGCAGAGGCAACGAAGGCTCCTTATAGGCAAGCTGTTGGAGCATTAATGTATGTATGTTGTGGAACTAGACCTGATATAGCATTTGCTATTTCATATGTTTCGAGATTCTTGGACTGTCATACTTCTGAGCACTGGGATATGGTGAAACAAATTTAAAAGGTACAATGGACTATAGAATAAAATATGACAAGCAGCCTGAGAATAAAAAGTTAACCGTATATAGTGATGCTGATTTTGTAGGTGATATGGCAACTAGGTCAACTACAGGTGTAATCAGCTTCTATGCGGGAGGACCAGTCACTTGGCTGAGTCAAAAAACAATCATCCATTGCCATATCAACAACAGAAGCAGAGATAGTTGCAGCTAGTGAAGCAACTAGAGAAGCAGTAAGGCATTATAGAATATTCAAAAGGTTGACAACCATGAATGAGAAACCCATTATTTATGTTGATAATGAGACAGCTGTTCGTTTATCGAAAAATCCTTTCAGTTTCATATCATCTCCTCAGAGTTTCATAAAAGAACAAAGCACATTGAAGTGAGACTTTTTTTTGTTCGTGAGAAAGTACTTGATGGAACTATAAAAGTTACAAGAGTATCGTCAGAGAATCAAATAGCTGACATACTAACAAAACCTCTGAAACCTGGACGTTTTAAAATACTGTGTAGTAAGATTAGTGTTTGTTTGTGATTTTCAGCCTAAACAAAAAGGGGGAATATTGAAATAATTTTTTATTTAGTCTGCAAATGAACAAAAGGTTTTTAAGTAAATTATAACATATGGTTTATTGTTTTTATAATGTTTGTTTACTTGTTGTAATGTATTCAGTTTGTGATTTTGTCAGTGAAAATACAAGGAATTATTTTTGTTAAAAGCAGAGTTTTATTTAAAGAGAAGTAGTTTACAAAGACAATAATTGACGTCGTAATACACAGTACTGTGACATTGACATTAGTCTTCTTGTACACAGTCACAGATAGTCTTGTACATGGATACAGACAGCTTTGTGTTAGTAAAAATATCGGTCTTGTACATGGATACAGACAGCTTTGTGTTAGTAAAAAAATTGGTCTTGTACATGGATACAGACAGCTTTTTGTTAGTAAAAAAATCGGAAAAAATCGGATCCATCAAAACCGGATCCAGCTCAAGATCTGGAATTTTTTGGATCCGATCGGGTGCCGGTTCTAGCTCGGATCCGGTAGTCCGATATCCGGATCCGACCATCACTAGTATTGATAGCACGGTGGTACAGTTCATATCCTTGCCTATTGATAGCTTCATAAATCAGATCGCATGTCTAGTTAATATATATGCCTAGTAAAGAACTTGATTAAATAAATCAAAATTTCATGACTGTTCTACCTTTGCCCAGAATTCTAAACTATAGTTTTAGAACTATGTTTTTAAATAAACACTATGTTAACAAATTAAATATAAAAATACATTGTTCCGAGAACACTTAAATATTAGACCACAACATAGTAAACAAATAAATCTTTTTATGTTTGATGTGAATTCCACTTTAGAATGCTTTAATTAAATACAGAATATAAAAGTTGCTGACTACGTGTTAAAAATTGGTGAATCCACTGGACCTAAAGTCGTTATTTTTGGTGCTGGCCTGAAGACACTAGTTTTGATCATCAAAGAATGTTGCTTTGAAAATAAGTCATTTTATTTCCAAACATAAAAAATTTAATGCATCAATTATCAGCATGCTCTAAATATTGTATCATGGAAAAACCAACTGATCTTAGTCAGTAACAAAGCTACATGGATCATCACACTTCATTGTACACTCATTCTTCACTCATATTTGGGTTGGATAAAATACGCACCTAGGTGGTTTCCTCATATTAATAGGTAATATATTGTAATAATAAAAAGCAGTAGTTTTGAGTCTATCTTGTGGTAGCAGACCTAAGTAGGTACTTATTGACTGATCTTGTGTGAATTGAGCATGAATCTTAAATGTAAACGTGGACTGGTTGCAATAAATATATATGTAATCTGGAAGTTTACTTAATTTTGCTGATTAGAATAACTAAAAGAGTGTATTCCATTTTAAGTTTGTAAATGTAATGAATTTATCACTGCTGTAAGAACCTTAACTATTAGAATTATTTTTATTTTTTTATCTCAGTAATCTTTCTAGAAATAATAAATACAAGTCCTCTGAGCAAGTTGGTCGCTTATATGTGATTGGATAAACGCCACTTGTAATGCATCCACGTGCCTTTATTCCCTAGTGAGTAAAGTCATCTTTAAATGTGTCATAGTGTCTCAAGGTAATTTTATCTTTTTTTAAACTAATGCATCACATTATTGTGGCCTTCTATTTTTTGCCAAGTTGTTTACCAAAACATAATTTCTATATTTTGTTAAAAATTTTACTAAATTGAAAACAATAGTTTGTTATTGTTTAGCACTGCAAATCATTATGCAAACATATTTTCTGAGAGTTTTTAAGATGAATAAAGATGATTTGTACTGTATTGTATTGTATTGTAATCCCGTCCATCCCGTATTAACAAAATATTAAAATATGCGAATGCAACTATTACTTGGGGGGGGGGGCCACGACCACATTTGCTCCGGGCGCCGGGACGACCCTGTGTATGCCCACTGTTACAAAAACCACACCAACTAAGAAAAATGGTAATAAACTTACAAAACTAAAGGTGAAAAGGTAGGAAATAAAATTTAAATTTGTAGAATAAATCTCTATACCTACTTTATATTGTAATTGCAACCTAAATAACGAATAGATGCAAATATTAAGTAATTTTAGCCAAATATTATGCAATATTACTTATCAATAGGGATTAATATAATTAATTTTTAGATAAATAAACATATGCTCACTTACTTATTTTTCGCAGAAGTAGAAGTTCATTTATGAGCTCTATTGTTGTTGTTTTAAAATTATTTTCTATGCATTCTATTGATATGTTATTGCACAAATATAAATAATTGATTCATTTATAATCGTACTTCAGCTTGTAACAAGGTTGTTTTACAAGTTACACGAAAAAATCCATATACAAAACTACCGAAGATAGTCCTGTACATGGACACAGATAGTCCTGTATATGGACACAGTTAGTCTTTGACATTGCCTAGCCATATGAATTATTTAAAAAACCCGCCCTTGAAAAAAGAAAAAAACGTATCAAGATCCGGATCCGGTACCGACATTTTCTTGGATCCGCACATCACTAATCCTGACTTTAAAAAAAAATATTTTAGGGTAACAAAATACTTTATATTGATAAACTTAAGAGTCAGAATACAGACTACTTACATAGAAGTCATCTTTGAACATCTTAAGGTCGGTAAAGAATTCGTTCAGACTGTACTTCTGGTTGTCAAATACATAGTATTCTGATAAATCTTTGTAGAGAGTCTCCATGTTTTGGAACATATTCATTAGTAAAGCACACTGTTGTTTTGCTTCAACAACAAAGCTCTGGAAATGTGTTAAGGAAAATTTTAAATGTAATCACTGGATGGCACTTATGACAATAATAAACATATTAAAGTAATTTTTAACTACAGCTATAAATGTAAATGTAAATACCGGTACATGTATAGTACTTTTTTTTGTCCTTTTATATTAAAAAACTTAATTTTACATGGCAAAATTTCATATTGGATAACAATTAAAGGCTTATCGCATTAATAAAAAATGTTTTCCTTTTTTTTCAAAAGAAATGAAAAGTACAGAGAAAACTGAAATAATTAAATGTTGCTTTCTAAGAGTAGAATCACAAGAAAAATTTAACATTTAAAATTTTTATGAATCAACTCTTATGGACACAAATTTAACTGTTCAATAAAAACAGTAAATAATTAACTCGTGTAACATCTTATGAAAAACCTTGAAAACAGGTTGTATATACACGATCGAATGAAATTAAAGGATACGCCCATGACTTTGGTGAAGAGATCATCTTCATTTTGTGGGACTTTATTGTTGTTGAGATCAGTCTCAAGGTTTTTAACGTTGCTCTCCATTTGGCGTAATGTCTTTTGTATATCAGCCGTAGAGACTCGGGCGGCTCTATCGATGTGCGGCAGGTCGTCTGCGAAAGTCATCAATTCTGGAAACTTTCGTTCCACAGTATCAGCAAGGTAATGAAGAAGAGTTGTCTTGTTCTCTATGTCTTTTGTACTTGATAACTGCAAAAAACAATACAATTATTAGTTATTACTTAAATATTCTTCAACATTTCAAGTTTGCTAAGTGAAATGATTCTGGTGCACACATACGGTTAAGAAAAATAATAGATTGCTGTTATTAAAAAAAAAGATAAACAAGTAGAAATGCTCCAAATAAAAATTTGGTAACATAACATCAAAAATAATAGATTGCTGTTATAAAAAAAAAATGATAAACAAGTAGAAATGCTCCAAATAACCATTTGGTAGCATAACATCAATACATAGCGGTAATGGTGTTAACTATCGAGAATCGATTGTGAAAAGTCAAAGCCGAGACCGATACCTTACACAACAGTGAAGATCGACAGGCGAAAAATGACTGCTTTTGCCACAATGTAGTGCATGATGACGATGACGTTTCTGTGACCGCAGGAGACAAAGATGTGTCTACATGGTTGTGGGAGTTGATTAGAATTTTGCAGCGATTGTGGAAGATGGTGATAATGTCTACACGACCGCGGAAGATGTTCAGAATTTCGCCGCAATTGCATAAGACGATGAAGATGTCCACACAACTGCGGGAGACTATGGTGATGTCTACACAGTTGCGGGAGATGATCAGAATTTTGCCGTATTAGCAGAAGACAATGATGATGTTCAAATGATCGTGGGACATGTTCATAACTCTGCGTAATTGTGGAAAATTATAATAATGTCCAAATCACTGCGGTACAAAATTCAATATTTGACTGTGAACGCGGAAGACGTTGATAAGTTTTGGGGACTGCGGTTTAGTGCGTTTTGAAGTGATAAATCCTAAATTTGCTGGTTAGAGTTTTTCATTGCTGCATTAATTTTTTCTTTGCCTGAAAAACACCCCCTCTCCAAAATTATTTTAAGGAAGAGCCTAGGGGTTGGTGTAGTATATCCAATCCATACAAAAAATTTGTTAAAAAATACCATTATCAGTGTTGAGAATTGATTTTTCAGGTATCAGTATTGAGAATCGATATATTTTTGTATCGGCACTAATTTCTAGTAACAACAATGAAAATATAAGTTGATAACATAAAGGACTTTAAACCTGTGTCATGATTTTACCAGCGGAATTTTAGAGCAGAGACATGAGATTTATTTTCAAAGAATTTATTTAAGTTTTGTTTTGAGATAAACCACAGTCTAGCTTGTTTAGGAATCTAAAAAATTACCTTAGGTAAATAACTAATTTCAAAACCAAAAGCTTGACCGTTTCTTGATCCACTGTTCATAATATTTCCTAACAATAAAACGAGCTCCAACATTTGAGCAAACTTTCTGCTTTGTTTGACTTCTTCACAAGCTGCTGTTGCTGCGACAATGTCCTGAAAAAAATATTAATATAATACTTTTAGTTTTAGAAGTAACAGTAGATGTTTTACTATTTTAAATGGAAATCTATTATTTACTCAAACAGAGGAAACCTTTTCCCAAATTAATTTTGACTAATTATAATTAACTGTGAGCGTGAATTTTAAACAAATACCCTAAGAAATATTGATTTCAACTTCCCTTTCAAACATTTTGTTAGACATTTGATGCACAAGCAGATACTGTTTAAAATGTTTGATTGGGAAAGGAAAATATAAACGTTTGAACTTATCAGATATAACCAAGTGTATGGCTGAAGAAAAAAACTTAAGAAATCCAAAAGTAGATACTAACAAACATTGCTTACATCAATAAAATATGTATGTACACAGCATAAGTTTCACATACGTTTCACATAAGTTTCACCCCATCAGTGAAATTATGCAAATGGAGAACCAATAAAACAAACTTGTTAACTTACAGGTTTAATATCTTGAACTATTTCAGTGTAATGAAGACGAAACCTCATCGATTTCAGCCTTGGAAGCAGTCTTTTAATTTCAGCCAGCTGAAAAAAGCATAGTTAAAAGTATTATTTTTGCTTCGCTTACATAAACCAAACAAATCATTCAGGGATACCATGCTATGTTAATTTATATTTTAAGAGATTATTCAGATTGGTCAAATACATATTTTAAGTACGAGTGCTAGTCAAGGAGAGAACCATTAAGGTAACCTTTCACTATCACATGTACCTTAGGTAACTATGTTAGCCTTTTATATGTTACTGTTACATTCACAAATTCACATTTGTTTGAAATACTTTTGCATGTGTCAGTTTTCATCAAGCGTAAGGACAAAAACATTTTAGCGAATTTACCATGTAGGGAATAAGCTATTACCGTAGTACTCATTGTAAGACCTGGACCCGGGACCGATTTACATTTTTCGTTTTGAGGTCCCTAGAGACCAAAAACACCATCCGTTCAAATTCATATATACAGTAGAACCTCTTTAATCCGAACTAATTAGGACCAGGGGTAGTTCGGACTATTGAACAGTTCGGATTACAGAACATATTGTTGTTTTTTTTTAAATTGATCAACATTATTTTGGTAAAAGTGAAAAAATGTTTTATAAAGTAAAATACAGTGTTTAATTAACACAATAGTAAACATGGTGAATAAACAGGTACTGTAAATTAAATACAGTATACAATAAAGAACTGCTGTACTGTGTATAGAGTACAGCAATGAGGGGTTCGGATTAGTGGACGTTCGGATTACGGGGGTTCGGATTAAAGAAGTTCTACTGTATATATATTATATGTGTCCGTTAGCGCGATAACTCGAGAAAAAATTATCCGACTTTGAAGAAATTTAGTATGAACGTGTAAACCTACATTTATTCGAACGAGTTTGCGAACCAGCATGATCAGGCTATGGGAACATGGGCTTATGGGGGGTTTTATGGGGTAAAAATAGGTTTTTCCCAAACCATTTTGTAGAGATTAAAAAAACAAATAATTTAGTATATTGAAGCATTATTGTGCGCCTAACGGTTATGGAGAAAATTCCAAAAAAATTTAAATTTAAAATTCCCATGTTTTTCTTATGGAGAATAAGTCAACTGTTGTAGTTTGCTTGTTTATGAACATGTTTTGATTGAATTTGGAAAATACATTAATTTCTTAGTTAACTATTAACATTTTATAACAAAAACACTTTTTTACCCTCCCTGTTGCAGCAAACCTAAGTACTCGTTAAAATAATTCTATTTAAATAGGGAATAAATGTGTTATTTTTAAGGAGGCATTTTAGTGTAAATCCAATCAGGCAAATTGAAATTCGCTTAGTCTGCAGGTTTGCTGCAGCGGGGGTATTTTGAATCTGAGCACAGCACAGATAAATATCATTAATCATCAATTGTTATATTTTGACTTAATGTGGTTGAATTCTTACCGTAACAGCGAAGTGTTCAGCTTCTGTTAGCTCATCAGCATCACAGTTTAGTTCAGATAATCTTTTTAGTTGATCAGGAGGCGGCAGGTAGGTGATAAGTTGTTCTAACACACTGTCTGATAGGATTGTTGTATCACATTGTAAGATTAATTTCTTGACAGCCTAAAAAGTGCCAGGTACATTTAAATTATCAGTCAATACTTATCATTATAGCAAAAACTATCTTGAGATGATTACAACAGAATTATAATGGTGTGGATTCTGTTGATGTCACTATTTTGAGATCAGTATAGGTTACAAAAGTTGGCGAAATTTGGTACAATAGGTATAACTGTTGAGCGTTGAGTATTAGGGAGAGGCGAGAGAATGTATATACGCACACAAGTAGCCAGGCTGTAGTGTGGAATTTCAACACGTTAAAAACCAATATTGATTACCTACTAAAAACTTCTTCTACTCTATGAACACAAGCCTGGGAACAATTTACGCACTTCTTTAGAACTAGGCCAAGTTTGCATCACGCTGTGCCAAGCCGTTTCTTTCTTAAAAGACCTAGACTGATCTAGGTCTTTCTTTTTGACTAGGTGGAAAATGTTCTGAATGAAAAGCGACCAGCAGTCTCAGTTCTCCTCAACCAACCGGACAGCACCCAAAGATATTGAATGGTCTACTGGCAGAGTAAATTTAAATGTAAACAGCAAAAAGCGTGTCTCCTGTGTCGTCAGGAATCCCTGGCAGTAAACACAATTGGGTGATTATGAATTGGTCATTAAATGCAGGTACAACTTAAAGTACCTGTGACCTGACAAGAAGTGCTTGAGGCAGTTAGCAAAGCCAGTCACAGACCATGATCAGTCATCCAGGCATTTACTATGTACATAACCTGGTTCAGTTTCAGTTGGGCCAGGACTCATATTTCAATGTATGTTGAAAATGGCATTTTACAGAACATGTAACAAATGCTTGTTCCATTTGGGACTGCCAAAAATATATTTATGAAATAAGAAAATTCATAAATATATTCATCAGCAGAACTAAGAAAACAGGAGGTTTTACAATGGGGCAAAATGTCTTAAAAATATACTTAACTCTTAAAAACTACATGATTTATGACGGTAACATGGAACCAGTTGATCAATAAATTTCAGTGACTTTAGGGTGGACACGACATTAAAACACACGATCTTTAGTACCAAAAGGAAAATACTTTTCAGTGACTTGAACATGGGATAGTTGGGCATAGGTACAATATTTTGTGCCGTAACGATTTTGAGCTGGTTGCCTGCCTCCGTAACTCTCTATTCAAATCAGTGAATTTTGTGACTTCCGTGATTTCAGTGACCGGTGGACACCCTGCTGGTAACTAGCTTATCTATTTACAATCTAGTAACTTTTCTTACTGATATTTTAACTAATGTATACTTACTGCATAATTGAGGTATTTTAAACTTCCACCAAGAACAATGGACAGGTTTTGAGCAGCTTTGGCTTCTAATACTTTCAAGGCTTTAACTTTTTTCAATGTACCACCTCTAAAAAAATCACATACACAATTTGTTAAAACCAATATTAAAACATATGTGATTGTGTGTTAACTGATGCTTCTATCAATTGAACCTCTCCCTCCCACACTTAAGTCCGAGACACTAACCACTAGGCTAGCAACACATCTCTAATATTCCTCCTAATCCTAATATCATCAAATATTCTAACTTCAGAATATTTTTATTATTTCCAAAGATAGTTAAGAAATAAAAACTGAGTTGTTGTTCTAAGAGTTGGTTTTTAAAATAAAACTTTGAATCATCCTTTGAATATTCGCTTTGAACACTCTTGATTATCTGAGGTTGTTCGGATATAGACTATCTGGGTTATTGAGAATCTCGGATAACATGGAGGTTTTTTAGATTTTGAGGTTAGGGTTACGGTGTGGTACCACATTAGGAAGTCAAAGATTTGTAAAGTATATGTTTTGATAACAATGCATAGTGAATACAAAATGATCAATAATTGGTACTTTGATGGAAAATGTTAAGGCAGTGTTATTATGGAGAACAATAACTCAAAACATGCTTAACACATCTTAAATTGTCTTGGAAAACTTTAAATACAGTATTATTAAATGATGCCAAGCTAACACTCAACAGGATAAAATAAAAACACAATAAGGTGGATCCCCACAGTTTTTTAAGTATAAAACTAATTATTGTTTGATACAAAAATAGTGTACAAAATAACAAAAGCCTACAGGAACTTGAATGGTTATGAAAATCTTAAATACGAAAATATAAAATAAAACAAGACATCTTTAATGTGAAACTGTAACATACACAGCACAAGTAACTGTATGATAAAAAAACAGATACGGCAAAACCTTTTATATCCAGTATAGGCGGGACCAGGGTCATAATGAATAAACGAATTAGGTACCCGATAAACAGATTTTACCGATTTTTGAGATGTACACAGTTAAAAAACACCTTCAGAAGGTCTCTGCAATACTCGCAATACAGGAGCGTGTTGATGTTGCGTGTCCTTTGGATGTTTTTATTTTCAGAGAAAATATTGAAAACTTTTAACAAATTGTTAAGAATGATTAACAAACAAAATACTGATGCTACATATATTGTTTTCATTTTTTTCAGATGCTTTTCAATTATCTGTAAAGTGATGATGAGTGAGGCGGTAGAATAAAAGACACTTCTCAATAAGTTATAGTTCAAGTAGCATTTTGTTTAAATCTGAATCTAGCTTAATAAAATCAATAAGTAGAACAATGGTTTAGTATTTCAGTTGGATACTGCTATTCATTGGCTTTAGGCTCTCGGCTACACTTACTTGTCAATCACATCATCAACCTTCCTGACAGGAGGTTTTGAAGAGAATTTCGCTGTTAATCCGTCTAGAATGTCTGGTGATGCTAGTTTTTCTTCCTGAACTTTTACCCAGAACGATTTTTCAGACAGTTTCTGTGGTTTTATCTGAAATTGAAATTCACCAATAAATTTCTTGATAATGGTATTAAAACGATTTAAATGGTTTTGTTTTTAGTAAATACCCAAAATAACATGTATTTAACCCATTGAGGAAGACACACGAGTCTGACTCGATGCCACCCCGGGTGGACTGGACGCCCACACACAAGTCCGACTCGATGTGTGCGTTGCGTCGTAATTATTGACGTAGTTCTAAGTTTTTCCGACATATGGTGTTGCCATGTCCTTCGCGAATGTCTGAACTGACGAATAACATATTGTTTTGGTCTGTTGGCCATCCTGTTGATTTCTTATTTCAATTATTGTAAAGCGTCATCTGTTCGTATTGACGTTTGACGGCAGTCAAAACCGCCCACCGTTTACCGAGTGTTTGTTTTGGTTATGTTTTGATTATGGATCGTGAAAATTTACATTCTTCTGAGGTAGATCAGTATTTAGACAGTGATTATGAGTTCGACTCTGAAACGTGCAGTGACGAAAGTGTTGTGGACATAATCGTTCATCACAGTGACAAAAATGAACGGCCTGTGGACTTCCTTGAATTTAGGCCTAGTGCTTCTAATTACAAATCTCGGCTATCACCGAGATTATTTGATGAACTTGAAGAGGAGTTTGATCAGTATGAGAACAGTAAGGTAGGCCTAACTAATAATAATCCTACTAATGAAGTGGATATGGTTCCAAGTACAAGCACTGGTATGGAGCCCAGGCCTAGCACTTCTACTATGGAGCCTAGGCCTAGCACTAGTACTATGGAGCCTATGCCTATGTTTATGCCTTGTAGTAGTACTTCTGTTCCTAATATTGAGGCTAATAGGCCTACTACAAAAAATGTATCTAGTAAAAGGAAAATAAAGCTTCCAAATTCGGAAAAACCTAACAAAAAAATTAAACCTACAAACAATTCTCTGGTTACCAAAAAACAAAAACCTGGTAGGCCTAAGAAATCAAAAACACCCCAAAAGGGCAAATGTAGGCCCAACAATAAAAAAACTTCAAAAAACCCCAAAAAAGGTAAAGGTAAGAAACCAAAGATCGTTGATAGCGATTGGCCTTGGTTAGATGTAAAAAATGCCCCTAAACAAATTGAATTCCGCGGTGTACCTGGAATAAATGTACACACACTACGTAGCTTAGGTGAGAACCCAACAGAATTAGATACATTTATGCAGTTTGTGGGGAATGAATTCTGGGATATGGTAGTTACAGAAACCAATGACTACGCTAGAAAACTGTTGGGAACCCCTGGTAGGAAGATGTTGAAGACTGATAAAAAGTGGGTAGATGTTACTAGGGATGAGCTAAAAGTGTATTTTGCGCTCTATGTGAATATGGGTCAGGTGAAGAAGCCAGAACTCAAACACTATTGGTCCCACAGACAAATATTAGAGACACCTATATTTACCAACACAATGTCATTTGAGAGATTCACAATCATATCTCGATTTCTTCATTTTTACGATGAAAACACTGAAAGTGACATCCAGAATGATAAGTTGAAAAAACTGAGACCCGTTATAAGATATTTGGAGACCAAGTTTCTACACATGCTTGAACCTGAAAGAAATATCGCCCTAGATGAAACCCTTCTAAAAATGAGAAGCAGGCTCGGTATAATCCAATTTAATCCCATGAAAAGGGCCCGATTCGGAGTTAAAATTTATAAAGTATGTGAGTCTTCCTCTGAGTACTGCTGCACATTCAAAATATATGTTGGGGATGACAAAGTTGACGACACATTGGCTAGTGAAGCTGTCACACTTGATTTGCTGCAGCCTTTTTGGGGAATGGGGTATGTTGTCTACCTTGATAATTGGTATTCCTCCCCCCTCCTGTATACTAAGCTTATTGAAAAGGATACACATGCTGTGGGTACTGCTTTATTGATAAGGAGATGTATGCCACAAGTATTCAAGCATGTTGAGCTGCCAAAGGGGGAAGCGATCAAACGATCTGGTCGGGGCGTCCTTGCTGTGAAATGGAGCTATCGCAAACATGTACATATGATATCAACTGTACACGAAGACATTGATATGGAAGTATCCAAAATTGTGAATGAAGGAGACCAACAAGTAGAAATAAAAAAACCTAAATGTGTCATCGACTATAACCAAGGTATGTTGGTCGTAGATCGACAGGATCAGGTCTTGTTGACCTTTCCTATAATGAGGAGAACTGTGAAGGCCTATAAGATTTTTTTTATCTTCTTGATATGACACTCTACATTCTACAATGCATTCTGCATTTTCAAGAAAATCAAAAAGATAAAAAAGATGCATTTCACTGACTTTTGACTAAACCTAGTCGAACAGATTTTGACCTCAGTTACGATTCCAGCCAAGACGTCGCCTGGAAAAGCCCCAATTAATCCGTCCCCATTGCGCCTTCAGTCAAAGCAGTGGGCACATTTTCCTATGAAGGTCCCACCCACAGAAAATAAACTTCATCCAACAAGAGCTTGTAAAGTATGTACAGCAAACAAGAAGAGGTCTGAGACTGCATGGATGTACGAACGGTGTAAAGTTCCGCTGCATCTTGAGAAATGTTTTGTGGCATTTCACACCAAGCTAAACTACTAAAATCCTGTAGTTGAACATGTATATAGTGTAAATAGAACTTAGTGACTGCAATAATGAACCCAGTTTTTATAAGTTTTATTTCAATGTAATTTTCCATGACGAACAAAATGTTGCTGAAATCGCATCAAAATGCGGAATTGTAAGTAATCACAAAACTTTTTATTGCATGTTTATTTTTATAGATATAAGGGTAATTTTTTGTTTCCACATAAAAAATAAAATGAAGTTTCAGAAAATATATAGTTTTGATGGTTTATACGGTTCAAAATAATTTTTATTTCACTTTGCTTTTGAAATTTAAAATTTTTATTTTTTATTTTTAATATGATTTTTTTTATACAATTTTATTTTTTCATATGCTCAATAACTATATACTTTTCTTAAAGAACAGAAATTTTTTTACAAAATAAAAAAAATTATTAGTTTATCACTATTAATAACTGTTTTACAAAAGTTTTACCAATGGCCTGCAAAACAGCTGATTTTAACTGCCTCCTGAAGGGCTGTTTGGAATCAAGTATACTACTTCCTTAATGGGTTAAATAAATATACGCACAGTATTCCAGTTGGCTCTCTTCAACCCTTCTATTTGCCATTTCTTCTTAGGCTTCAACCCGTGTGGAAGGACATCAGGGTCATTGATGCGTGGGGGTGCCATGAACCCACCCATCATCGGGGGAGGTGGTGGTCCCATACCAGGTGGTGGAGGAGGTGGTGGAGGTCCCATCCCTGGCATAGGTGGGGGTGGAGGACCTCTGGCATTAGGAAAAGGTGGTGGAGGAGGGGGTGGCGGTCCACCTCCACCAGGCATTGGAGGAGGTGGGGGAGGTCTTGGACCCAGAGTCAGACCAGGGGGTGGAGGAGGAAGACTTCCCTGGAAACAACAAGGCAAATTAAACAAAAATATTAATATACATAAAAAAACAATGGTTTTATTAAAATAACATATCATTTCAATCATGATATAAATCAAAAAATATGAATTGCTTTATTAGATAAGTGAGATAAAATGAGTGGTTCAGATTTGATAAGACTGTGACAATAGAGTCTTTAAATATAAACATTTCAATTTGAATGTTTAGTCCTGATACACTGTTATCTGTTCTGTTTTGTTTTTTAAGGTACATCCTGCCTGAGTAACAGCCCTGCGACTCCTACAGATTACCTAGAAAGAACTAATACTCGTCTGAAACAAGACAAATTCCAGTGGAAGGAGATTTCTCCAAGTAAACTATTAAATTAGGTGAACAGCTGTTGTTGGTAGTGTCAATCAAAAAAGTTGACATCACAAAACAACTCAGTCTACATACAACATACATGGATTCTCAAAACCATCTAGCTGCATTTCTGTTGGTTACGAGCAACAAACACTCTAATAGAGTTGGCGGGATGTGCTTTCAATACTTTTCCTGTGTCACAAAACTTACCTTGCCCATATCTCCACCACCAGCCATGTAATCTTGAAGAGCTTTCTCAGCCAAAACTTGCTTGGCCTCAGCTTCTTGCCTCATCAACAATGCTTCTTCAAGTTTCCGCTCCATCTCTTCTAAACGTCTCTCTGATTCGCCTCTGGATTTTTCTATAACAGAAGAGTATTAAAAGTAAGAATTTCATATTAGATTTTGGAGGGACATTTAAACAAATAAACATAAAATAAAAGAGCAGACGTCAAGGATTTGCTCAAAGAGATAAATCAGAGGTAAAATAAAAATTATACTATATGAAAGTCTACAATAACATTACTTGTTATTTTTGTTGGCAGTAAGTTACTGATATAAATGTTGTATTTGAATGTAACATACCGACTAGATTGTCAATGAGAGGTTGAACATCGATGTTGAATCTTCGTGTCATGGTAAAATCTGGATCACATCCACCCCGGTGAAGAACTATTTGTGATACACACTCTTCTATCAGCTTGTAGTAGGCCGGCCTGAAAAAATTTTAATTGGTAATAAAAAAAATTTTGATATTCACATTAGTTTAAATCAATTTAAATGAAAAGTCGGTATTCACATAAGGTTGTACAAAAAAATTAACAAACCTAGAAAAAAAAAATAAAAAAATTTACTGGCTCCTGTACTAAACATAATAACTTTTTAACCTGCCTAAACAACTTAACAATATAAGGCACATGTTGTTCAGAGGTTTATTGCGGACATTTTCCATCACGATGGTAAAAAACAATACACAAGGGTTTTGATTTGGAATCTGATCCCGTCCTCAGGTGAAAAAAAAACTTAACTAACACACTACAACTAACAATACACAAACGCCCAACCTAAGTTGGAGTACACTACAGAGAGTAGAAGTAAAAAAAAAACACTCAGTCTCACTGGAGGAGTCATTGCGAACTGTGCGATTAGTGTTCCATTGTGTGAGCTGTTTACCTTACACCTTTTATAATAATAATAATAATTCTTATATTGCAGTCAACAAAGTACATTGATAAGTACGTCAATAAATAATGTTTGTGAAAAAATCCATGTTAAATCTTGCATTTTGTCACAATAAGTGTTATTAAACAATAAAATTGAAACTAAATTTCTATTTACTAAACACCAGTGCTTGAATTTATTTTTGCGACATTTCCTAAAATTTAGATATCTAGCGGTTGTTCATGAAATCGTCAACAGAGTACAGCACATTGGACACCAAAAGGCGTTTTAGCCGAGATTTGAATTTGTTTTTTGTTTCAGCTTGATTGATGCCAACAGGGAGTTTGTTGAGGATTGTGATGCCAATCTGCGAAGGCAAACACTCAAACGCTACACTTCTATGTTGTTGAGTTCGGTAATTGTCTCTGCCCCTAGTATCATAATCATGGACATCTCGGCCCTGCACTAGTGAGCATTCATACTTACAGTACATGGCCACATCCAAGACGTAGAGACAGGGTACAGTGAGCAATCCCCACACCCGGAAAGCATTTTTACACGAGTCTCTCCTCTGTAGAGGTTATCGATTTAGAAAATGTTATAGACTTCGTGTTTTGTGATTGGATATTATTTGCATGTTGTATCATGACTTGACTGCTATATAGTTCATAATTTTTGACTGCTACTTTCTGTAGTGTATTCCAACATAGGTTGGGTGTTTGTGTATTGTTAGTTGTAATGTGTTAGTTAAGTTTTTTTCACCTGAGGAAGGGATCAGATTCCAGATCCCGAAACGTTGTGTATTGTTTTTTACCATCGTGATGGAAAATGTCCGCAATAAACCTTTGAACAACATTAAGTCACCATCACCAATAATGAACGTCAAACAAAGGAGTAAGGCACATGATCAAAAAGGTTTTGAGATAAAATTTAAGAGTAATTTAATAGACTTAACACGTTCGCTACCGCAATAGTACAAAATTTTTCATTCATATGGACCAGCGACGCACATATGCGACAGCCGGTTTCTACCCATGGACTGTCGTCATGCGACAGCTAGTCACATTAAAATAGAATGACGCTGCATATTTGCGTAGATGTCCTAATGTAATCAAAACGCTTATATCTTTGTAACAGCTATTTAAAAGCCCTGAATTTTCTGCAGTGGTCTACAGGGATGTCTGTCCCACAACTGCGTCGCTTGGTCTGTGGATATGGTGATTGGTGACGTCGTGTGATAGTTGGAACTGTTTTTTACTTTGATGCATCACTATATGTCTGTATGCTGTATGTATGCTGCTTTATGCTATGTAGCTTTTATATTTGTTCAATTATAAAATGTTCTTAAAAAATCCATTTTTCTTGAAAAATCAATTTTTTTCTTACTTACTTTAACCTAAAAACATAAACAAAAATAAACTGTTACATACATGCGGCGTTTGGTCTATTTAAAAAAAAAATGTTAACTGTTTTCTGTGCTTTATACAAGGCGTTGCAAATATGCGACATTAAAATAGGTTATAAAAAAAAAAAAAAAAAACAAGAATATATTATTTACAAACACGACTGCAGCGTATTACAAAGTAAATGGTCACTGTTTAACAGGTTTTCGCCCGTGGTCTGGGTGTACTAACTAAGGGACAGCCGGTCTATGTGTAATTGAATTGTATGTCTGTGGCAATGGCCGTGGTGTCGCATATATGCAACGCAAACATGTTAATGATGCAAAACAGCACAAAGGCATATACTAAAATACCTACTTATTAATTTATAAAAAAAAAACAATCTAACCTAATGAGTGCATCATCTCTTATGAAGAGCAAGTGTTGTAGAATAGACAGCAAGTATGGTTCGGCTGGGGAGTCCATCACAAGGTTTTTGACAACCTCGAAGCAATCGTTGACATCATCAACATCAAGCCGCACGTTGTCAAACCTCTGTAGAAGTTCGTAGTAGTCTTCCTCTTTGTGATCTATGAATACTTTTAACTGGACACCCAACTGTTCATCCCCTCCCTGCTCAGTTTCTTTCTCTAAAGTCTGAAAGTAAACAAGGATTTTATTTTAATTAGAAACTCAGATATAAGATGTTTAAAATACAAGTAGATTAAAATCATTTAAATCAAAAATACATTATTTTTGAAAATTCAAATCACGATTTAAGTAAAGGGTGGTGAAAGAATCACACACTATCTAGTTTCAAATTCATGGTAAGGACCATTTAACTGAATTTGAAAACCAAATATCTATATAAACATTTAGACAAACTAATTTGACCGACATCATATGAAATATAAGCTTTAGTAAAAATTCAAAACATAAGACAATCAATATCCAATATCTGAATTATAAAAATCAGCAAACCAAAATTTATTGAATAGGCTTATCATCACTCATGATAAAGGTCTAGTAAAGTTTGTTGAAGTTGATTCAAGTATCAAAGCCCACCAGAAGAAACTATTAGGAGAAGTCCATGAGTACATCAACTAACCATCTTCACAATAGTGTAAATAATATGACGATACACGTTTACCACATAGCCCTTACATACATGTTACAGTTTGAGTTATTTCATTTGATATTTTATCAGTAATTTTCATTAGCCTACTTGCTAACAAACTATTGAGGGATAAAAATTATTTTCTGTCATTTAATTCTAACCTTAAATTCTTTGACGAATAAATCTTACAAGTACCTACATAAAATAAGAAACATTTAGAGAAAAGTTACTTACATCCAAAATGTCCATAAGGCCTGCCCTCATGATTTCATTTCTCAAATGAAGGCGGAATTCCAACTCATCGGGGCCATCTGGAGTGGTGACAATGGCGTTGATGAATTGCAGGCACACAATCTGAACATAGGAATATAAAATCAAAATTTGAACAATACTGTGCAAATGTACCTCATATATTCTGTACAATATGCTAATGGCTTTTACTGAGACACAATAAACCCAAAAATGTTAACAAATAAACAAATATAGACGTTCCAGTTACATTGCATAACACTTTGGTAATAGTGAACACATTGATAAAAACCAATAAAATTCAATATTTAAAAAAAACGGCAATAAGCTATAACCTGGGGGTCTAGTATAGAACTGCTACAGTTGGACTATTGGTTGACCAAATGTTATTAGTTTTGCAAGTGTGATAAATGAGTGGATGGCTCTGGTGGAAATTGAAAGGGATGGACTGGACATAAAATCTCAGGCATTTTGTTACTTTTTCTTATCCTTATGGTGTGTGTGTGTTGTTGATTTGTTTTCAAAATCTTATGAACACAAAACGATAATGTTATCATCATGATGGAAAATAGGCATAAATAAATTAGTGTCAATTCACAGAGTTCAAAGGGTTAGATATGACCTCATAATAAAACAATTCATAATTTTATAAAAATGTGAATGTGTACCAAAACATGGAACACACCAAGTTGAATAAAATGTTGTAAAGACTTTAGTGTCTTCCATAAAAATGTTGTTTTGACTGTATACTGTTACATTAAGCTGTGTACTGTATGTTTATTGCTTACCCTTAGCTGAACATTGCCCTTGATCAAAGCATCAACAATGGGCTGGAAGCGGTTGGTTTGTCTTCTCATCTCTCCGCTCATGGTGATAGCTTCTAGTACCCGCTCATGTCCGTCGGGAGGCACCAAACACACGGCCGCCAACACTCGTACAGCCTCCAACATCACCGCTGACTTGTTGGCATCTAGAGACTGAGCTACAATCGTGAGGGCTTCCTTCTGACTGAAAACTTGCTTCATCCCGGCAGTGTTGTTCATTATAGCTCGCAGGCACTTGAGGCATTCACATTGGATCTTGTCATATTTGTAGTCACTAAAAAACACAGAGGTTGTTACTTGCTTGTTTATTAAGTAGAGGTAGGAGATATTCTTCAAGTAACATAGTAATCTCAATTAATGGCATAGGCTAATAATACAGTTTCTTTACTGAGGCCAAAAAATATGTATTACAAACTACTTACTTTGTGGTAATCAAGAAAAGCAAGTTTTAGCCACTTGTTTTAATCTCTTCCCCTCATAGGTACCCAAGGTCATATCACCAAACCATCATTAACATCAAACTATGTATCTGTACCTGAAATGTGCAATCTAGGAGTCACACAGATAACTAGGTACTAAACTTTGGGGTGATAACTTTTTGTTGCATAACATAAGAGAAAAAATTATGAAACCGACATGGTTATATGAATACTTAATCTTTGGGGCTTGTACAAATTATGAAAAACAAGCCTAAATACACAAAGTGTAAAAAACTAAAAGGATATATAAAAACAAATCAACTGACTTGCGGTAACAAAGGTTGAGCGTGGACAAGACTTTCTTGAGCCCCTCAGTTCCGAACTCCTCAAGCCAGCTGAGCGGATTATTGGTCAGTGCAATCCTTAGGGACTCCAAGCAGTTGTGGATTTTGTTGATGCTTAGATCCGGCTGATCCAGGTACTGAATGTATTCGTTAGGTTTGTCGAATTTTGATCTATTTTCCTGAAAAAGAAACAAACACTAAGTTGAAGTACAATTTTATCGTTAGACATCAATGTTGGCTTTACAAACAAACATAAATAAAGCATTGAGTACGCAACAGTATTCAGTGATTTTGTAACTTGGCACCTAAAGTACCGTAATAAATTACTTAGTATACATAGAAGTTTTAAATTGGACTAACAACTCAGTTTAATATCATAATCGACAACTGTAAAATTTAAATGTTTGAAATTTGAAACCGCTTAGGCCTATGTAATTTTCAATTTTACAAAATTGATTACATTCACTGATTACACATTAAAGGGAGAATACAGTAAAAAGCAAACACGCATATTTAAGAGTTTCAAACTGCCTTAAAGAATTGGTATACACGTAAATGGTTTCAAAATAAAAATAAACTTATACTTAGGCCCACTCCACTTAAATAATAAGCCTACTATACTCAATGAGTAGGCCTACTTGGGTTAGAAGGAATATGACAAATTATAGGCCTATAGGGATATATTCATCCATGAACATGCGATCTACATAAATTAGTATATTCGTAAGAATATCTTGTGTCATAGGGATCTTGGGATCCAATAGTCATAGCGTAAAAATGTAGCAAGTCGATATTAAATTGTTTGATTCAATGGAAGGAAATATATTTTTGGAGAAGTTAAATATTTAGGGTAATAAGTAAATTTGCTGAAAGTACTCACATTGGCAGAACCTCGGTAGTGGTTGATTAACATGCTTTTCTTGTTCTGAAGAACTTGCTTACGTAGAGGCTCCTTCATTTCTTCAGTCAAGTTTCTGTCGTCCTAAAAATGAAGAAAAATATATCTGTATCTTACATTTATTAAAGGTTTAAATTAAAACACTTTATATCACCGAGTGTAATTATAGCTAAATGTTGTGCAGTATTGCTACACCTGTATTCAGTAATTTGTGCTGAAGAAAGTACTCTCCCGGTTACCCGAGCCCCGGTTACCAATTGTTCTTTCTAATTTACATTAATGACATCCCTAAAGCTATTGATCAGGAACTAATTCTTTTTGCGAATGATACTACAGCCTTGATAAAAAATAATAATGTGGTATGGTTGAAAATGTGGTTCATAGCATGGAGGGTTGGTTCTTGAACAATGGATTAAAACTTAATCTTGAAAAAAGGCAAACAATAAAATTGTCTGTCAGGATCAATGGTAATAAAATTGAATCCCTTAAATTGGCAACGTCTCATAAATTTCTAGGTGTTTACATAGATGAATCACTTAAATGGGATGTACATCTGAATCAATTAAAAGATAAACTTAGATCCATGTCAATTGTATTTCTGCACTTATGGGACTGTGTTCCTAATGAAACTCTGAAAATGGTTTATCATGCTTATGTAGAATCAGTATTGAGGTACCTAAGGTATAATCTTATCTCAGGCTAACGGAGTCAAATCAATGTTCAGGTTACAAAAACGCATTATCCGTATTCCACGTACTTCATGCAAAAACCTTTTTCGAAATTTAAAAATCCACACCCTAACAGGATTGTACATTTTGGAATCACTAAACTAAATTCATTCAGCTAAAAACGAAACGACCTCCCAGAAACCAACCAAATCAACCACAGATATAATACTTGTAATGAAAACATTTTTAGACATATACACATAGACGAACACAAACACATAGCGTGCACACTCATACGGCCGATAAAATAAAATCGTAAACACGTCGATCGGACGAGGTGTTATTAATGCGGGAGTTGAGTCTAAACCTGCCAGAATCAGGTATTTAAACCATTATTATTAGTTATTTTTTGCAATCCGGAAGCTATTCATACTACAATGAGGAAAATTGTTCTTGCTTTACAATAATTATTTAGGTAGTTTCTTTGGTTTTCCATTATCTCTTTAGATCATAATGTTCCTTGATTGAGGTCACTGGTTGATTTACGAGCCAATTCCAAGGTTCCTTTATAAGTTTTTTATATGCAGGTTTATACACATTGGACGTTATTTAAAGATGTCATAAAATGGTCTTTGTATTGTAATGACAAAAAATCTTTATTCAACAGGCAAACAAGGATTGTTAACGAATTGGATTTTATCAACAAATTAAATTATAACCATACATACCAGCATCCTCTCGAACCTTTCGTTGAGAGCATCCTCATCCAGATGCTCGATGGACTCAACTTGTTCGTCCAACTCATTGAAATCGGAGTCAGAATGAGGACGGGAGAGTTGTCCTCCAGCCCTAGCTGAACCTGGCTTCTTGCGACCCAAGAAAGTGTCGAACTGTGGGTGAAAAACCTCATCAATATCTGTTTTTGAGCACACCGTTTGAAAATATTACCATTAATCTACAGCATTCTCACCAAAACAAATATTACAATGAGTACGGTACTATAGGCAGGTTCCTTTGAGCTACCTACTCTTAATTTTTATAATAGGTCAAGGGCACCCACAAAAATCAACATACAAAATAAAAATATTTAACTAGTCTAATCAGTAGATCAAAAGAATTTCCTATAGAAAAAGAAGATTTCAGATTCTTATATTTAAAAAAGATTAGGGATTGTGTTAGATTAATTAAAAAGTGCTAAAACCAGTCGTAAGATTTCAACAATTATTTCTTTGATTATCTTTTTTTACTGTTTTTTTCAATGAATAACTTGCTTTTTTAAAGGAAATTTGTTTTTTAATAAGTTTTCTAGTCCTCTAAGATATATTTACTAACATTTAATAATATCATATGCTATGTGGCTTACAACATTGAGAATTAATTTTGTAAACACTATGAATATTGTTCTTAGGCTTAGAAACAATCAACAAAGATTACATTAAACCTACCATTACAGTTACGAGTAGTAAATTCAGTCTGATAAACAAACAATAGAAGTAACACAGCTTTATTGTGCTTTCGTTACAGCAATTTTATGCTTCTAACTTACCAAGATAGTTATACTTTGAAAGTGCTGATAACAACAAATACCAGCTCAATAGTGATAGGGATTGGTGTTTTTTTAATATTATGAACAATTATAATTACATAAATAATAATAACTGAATGTATCTACATATTATTTTAAATCCTAACTACTGTTTAAAATTGAATACATTTAGGTGTGGATAGAAAGAAACAGGAGTACCGTATTTTTTTTTTTTTTTGGGGGGGGGGGAATTCAACTGGATAAACACGTCATGCATGGTTGAGTCACCTGACATTCAACCCACCCCATACTAAAAACACCCAACAGTTAGGTTTTTTTTATTTATTTTCAACTGTGACTTAATCAGACTTCGGCCGAGAGAAATTGAACTGAAGGTTTTTTAATACCTTATCGAGTTTTAATGTGATTAAACATGGTTCGTAATACTTACAAAACTTCCTGACTTTGGTTTCTGTTGATTAGCCATGTTAACACCATTGGGTCCTGAAACAAATAAACAAATCATGTAAGAATTATTATTTCAAACGATATAAAACCATGCTAAGTTTACTCGAATAGGTAATTTAACAGTTTTGGGACTGACCATTCACATTTCATCAAACTAATATCAAAGATGGTCTTTATCAGCAGTTACCTACTATAATCTGCAGACCCACCTGATTTTTCAATATAAACTGTTAATCTGTGGACAAACCTGGTTTTTCTCACGACCCACAATTTCAAATTATTTCAATACAGTAGAGTCCTGCAAACTCGGCGTAATGTGGACTGGAAGGGTGCCGAGTTTGTGAAATGCCGGGTTATCGGGAACTAGGGTTAAAAATAAGAACAATACAATTTTTATTCCTTTTAGCCGCCTTATTTATTTATATTTATATTACAAGTCAGTATTAAGTCATCAGATATTGTACAAAAAATCCTTAGTACGAGTTGCGAATTATTTGACTTGAGCCCATGTTTAACTCGGACTAAAAAAATCACTAATTTTATGAGCCAGGTGATGGCCGAGTTATCCAGACTGCCGGGTCATCGAGTGCCGAGTTTGCGGGACTCTACTGTAGTAATAATTAATTAATACCGGAGCCGCAAAAACAGAAATAATGGTTTTTCCAAACATTCAGGTTTTTAACAAATTTGAAGCTAATAATGTTTAGCCTATGTATCACTGTTCAATTGAGAATAGGCTACTGTTTTAAATTGCTCTCACAACTTACTGGTGGGTAGCTACCTACAGTTTGGAAACCACTGGCCTACATTTTTCACTTTTATACAAGAGTTTCTAAAACATGTGTGTTTTTAATACTGATATCAGAATGTAGGCCAGACCAAAAGTGATTGATGGATATGTCTAAATTAATTCTGCAGAACTTGACCAAGAACAATTAACAGCCATTTGAAAGGGGTCATGTTGGTCTATGAGTAGGCCTGTAATAAGTAAATTATTAGGAATTAGACAACTTTTTTGGTACCGGTAGGCCTAAGCTCTGTAGGCTTAAGTATTAATACATTTTAAATTAATCGTCAGTAGTCCTAACTGTGAAAACACATCTAACATAAATAAGGATTGTCTAAATCTCAACTTTTTTACCTTAGAGGGGTACGAGACTTTTGTCAATACTGGATGTTGATCCAGTACTAGACATACTGAAACCAGGTCCAATTCTAGACATAAGTAAGTTGGAGAGGATTTGGGAATTTTATTAATAAAGATGCACTGTTCAAGACACGTCTGAAAAGATCATCGCAGAACGGGGAACGCCAAGGGATTGCTTTACAACCCATTGCCCAAGAACGCCTCTATTAAGTTCAACAGTTGGTTGCTGACTGTGTTAAAATGTAATGTAGGCTATTTAAAGCTCTCATTATGGCTAGGCCTATTTAATGCTCTCATTATGAGTGTTAAAAACAAACTGTTGAAGATCTTGATGATCGAAGAAATAGAAGACGGGGAAATTCTGGACATTGTAAGTGAACCTAGATTGTGTACTCACAGTGTTTCCACAAAGAGAACGGACGAGGGGCTGATACTGAAATCTTCACCATCCCAATTTTTAAACGAAAATAGTAGCCTACCTCTTATCTCAACACAAGTAAAGCATAGAATATTTCCAAATGACCGAAAAGCTATTCTGATGTCCTTAAAACCAAGTCAAACAACACCGATGTTCACACCAGCAAGTCAAAATCAAAATACAATGACGTCATAGTTGGAAGTGGTGTCTTAAATAAACTGAAAGCAGCTCGCAGAAAATCCCTGTTCTTTGTCTCTAGAGTCAGTTCCAACGCTTCAAGCGAAGCGCTTTCTTGCCCGCTAAACGACAATGGCATAACCGACAGTGAGTGTTATTAGCTCAAGACCCGATTTAAAGACTACAAATCATTTAAAGTGTGTGTTCCTGCGGACCTTGATTCCAAAATCCGTGACCCAAACCTATGGCCTGCTGGAATATTAGTAAGAGCCTACCTTCCATCCAGGCGTGAAAATAGTGAAAAGTCTTCTTTTTTAGGCAGAACCTTTTATCGAACTGTGGTGAAATAGTGGTAAAGGAGACTGTGGTTTTAGGTTCATCTAGGCCTACTCCCCAATCCAACATCTCAATTAGGCCTAACCTAAACCTGCCAGCGACTACGCCTAGGCCATTGCAAGTTGGTGCTAAAAAGCCTGTTAGTGTAAATAAGCCTGTTATAAAACCAGTGACTGTAAATATAGCTGCTTTAAACGTTCAATGTCTTAGAACTAAAGCTGAGCTCTTGTCCCTCTTTGTGGAGGAAAACAACTGTGACATTCTGTGTATCTCGGAGCATTGGTTGAACGCTGAAGAATCAACTTACTATATGAACTTAGCTTCCCTACGACAAGTTAGTGCTTATTTCCGTGAGGACCATAGAAATGGTGGTGTGGCTATCTATGCAGCATCCAATTTTACTTGTAAATATATTGATTTGAACATTTTTTGCATTGAACTTGCTTTTGAGGCAACCGCTGTGGAAGTAGTTGACATCTCGACAACCTTGCTGTCCGTGTATAGGTCACCTGATGGTCCCTTTGAAACATTTATTACACAGCTTGATTTGTGTCTCGACTACCTTAGTAAGCTCAACTCAAGACTGATTGTGTGTGGCGACTTCAACGTACATCTGGAACGCCCTTCGAGGGAAGAATCTATCTTTGTGAACTTACTAAGAAGTTTGAAAAAGGACATGAGGTGTCAGGTTCATATTGCATCATAAGATAGGCTAAGTTTACTGTTTCTATTTTTTTGGGTTAGGCCTACCTATATCCCATAGAGATCAATGCAGGTTTGCCTTTTTTAAGGAAATATCTGTGTGAACAGCACAGTACTACTGTCAAAACAAAACTAAACGAGATAAACAGTGATAAAACTGGGTGTGGCAGGACGAATTGTCTCTAAATAGGCCGATAGCCGTAAGGTACTTAAGTTATCATTAGTAAGATAGCAAAAGTTATATTTCTTATGTCGCCGCAACTTGAAAACGCTCACAAATGAATTTGTTCTGCTGTTGCTGGCGGTCTGATTTTATTTTGTTTTTATTTTCAAGATTTTAACTTAAAGGTTCAGGTTAGCTTAGGGCTGTCTAAAATGGATGTTTTTAAATCCCCTTTATCGCAGCATTTAAGTTTAATTTGCCAATTGTGACAGTAGCCTAATTACCCCTCACCAATTGTAGGGGCACAAATAAGTTTAGTCTAGTATTTAAAAGTTTGTACGCCTATACGAGATTAGTGATAGGCTATAGGCCTATGCTATTAAGTTTAGTTTTAAAAAACAACAGACCTAAACAAAGATCTGGTAAGTAACATAGGCCTATGTTTTGTGCCCTAGGTTAGGGATGAGCATCGATAGGTCAACCATCAATGTGATAACATCGACGCAAAAACATCGATGTTAGGCCCAGTGGCCGCGACAGCGGGCCCGCACTATTGGGGCCCGTGAGCCCTGACCGGGATTTTTCCGGAAATTTTACCGAGACACGGGCCCGCAATTGTGTGACAGGCTCAGCCACACGGGCCCCCTATCATAACAATATTTATGAAAATTACCATACGTTTTTTCATGCCGAAAATTTGTTAAGCCCAGTAAGAGCACTAGGACAAGTAGTTTACAACAGCTTAACTGACACTATTATTTGGCCGATCGATATAAACTCTCTACCAACCTAAGTAAAAGAATAGTCATCAGTCATGTAGGTTGCATCAACAGTCCTCATGGACTGCGTGAAGGGGCTATTTATAATAGGGCCGTATTTAGAACCAACGTGTCCCCGGCCTAGGAGGATAAAACATTAATGTTAATCCTCCTAGGCCCCGGTGGGGTAAACCAGAGAGGGCCCTCAACGCTGATTTAACTTAATGAACTTGACAATTTTTTACGATCAAATCGGCGAATTAACCTAGGTGCCTGATGCACTAGATAATAAATAATTCCATTCTTTCATTGACCCTAAAGAAGGATTTTCATTTCACTTCATTTCTTACTATTAAGAGGCTTAATAGTAAGGCATGTAAGAGGCTTCACTTTAGATTTGTTTACTTCGCACTTTAGATTTGTTTACTTCGAGTCAGGTAAACAAATTTACTTACTTATAGGCCTCGGGCCAAATCAGAGTGGTTCAAAATCGGTTTGCTTTGGAAACTGTTGATTTTTATATAATGTAGATTTTCGAGACGAGCAGAGGCTGTATGTAGGGTATAAGCTTGGAGAGATCAAGCAAAAAGTCAGAAAATCAAGCTCAAGCCGATTTTCTCGGTACAATAATTCCCAATTAAAATTAAGGGTGGGCTCTACCTCAGCTCGGAAATCTCAGAACGATGTTCGAAGTGTCCGCCAGACTGCGCCGTGTCGGTTCAACCCAGTTGGAGGGGAAGGGGTGGGAGGAGCTAGGAGGTTCGCGAGTTGACTGCCGCTCCCCGCTAGGCAGTGCAGTGCCCTGCGGAGCTCCCGACGCACACACGCGCAAGCGCAACCAGGTTGTTATTTGCGCGTCCGCATATCTTTTGCTTCTGCTCAAACCTCCATCATGCCCTGCCACCGACACTCACTGGCAGCAACGTGACGTTCGCTATCGCTCCCATAAGCTTATACAGTAAAAAGTAAAACATTCCTAAATATTGAGTCTTGTTTGTCATTATTGAATAAAAATAAAATACTTTAGTTATACTTTGTAAAGTATCACTACATTGAATTATAGTAATCTTAAGTTTTTTTTTAATCAACTGTTATAATTATTTATTTTCTTTTGTTGATGTTTAAGATTTTCATTATTATTTAACTCTATTCCATCTGTAGCTACACCGTAATGGGCACAGAATCAGTCGGTATCTCACAAAAAAATTGAAAAAAGTGTTGTTAAACATTACCATGTTATTCTTATGGAGAAAATTAAAACCGTTTTAATTTACTTGTTTATGGATACACTGTATGTTGATAAAATTTGGCAAATTCATTAATTTCAGTATACTGACGTATGGTCAAGAAACACTTTTTACCTTCCCCGTAGCAGCACACCTAAGCACTCGTTAAATCTAATGTTATTTAAATAGGAATAAGTTTGTTTTATTTCTGGAAGTATCTATCTATAATATTAAAACGAAACAGTGTTTTTTTATTTCACGATTCTGAATCAACCACTCGACGGATTTTCATGTTTTTTGTGTTGAAAGAAAGATAATTTTGAGAACTAGGGAATGTCGAAGCCATAATTTTAGTTTAGGGTCCCAGTTTTTTAGAAATTAAGTTTTAATTTTTAAAAAGTCTAGCAGCCGACGCTAAGATTCTAAACTAGCTTTTGGCATAAAATAATTTGCTTAACATAACAGCTGTAAACATTCAGCTTTTGTGTCACAAATTCAGCATTTGGATAAAAACATGGATAAAAATGTAAAGACATACTGAGGGTTGACTTATTTATACTATGTGTAATGCTAATCATTGATACGTTCAATTCTTTTGTAAGAGGATGACAGATTAATTTAATATACATAGTAAAATACTAGGATGTTCAAATTATTTTTTAAAGCAATCTTTGTAATATTCGATTTGTTTTAGAGCAATATAATTTGTTTTAACTAACAGCTGGTTAAATAAGAATGCCCTATTAGAACTATGAGGTTATTTACTCTGATTTTGTCATTGATTATTAGAAATAGGTAAGATTAGTGGACCACCGAGAAAAGTAACACCATCGATGTGTACAAGTCGAGGATCTGTACACGAGTTAAATGAAAAAGATTTGCAACTTATTTTACTGCTCATCTTTTTTGGAAAGGGTAGGAAAATCACAATTTTTACATGTTTTAATTCGTCTTGGCAGCTTTTTGTTTACAATCAATGTTTTTGAATGCTTGAACTTTGTTTGGATTAGGCCCGGAAATATTGATGTCATAAAGATGGAGATCAAGAATCCTCAGGAATACGATTTTTAATTACCACCACAACCTCAGACGGGTGTTATCCAAAGATATACAGATGAATGCCATAAATTGAACACAACGTCATCATTGACCTAGGATACTGCAATTAGACTAAACATCCTTTTATGAAATCTAAAAAAGTTGTTTGGCGTGTGTTTAGTTGTGGTTACATTTGGAGGCGCTGAATTTTTTATAGTTTAAATAAATGAATATGGGGAATTACGATGTACATTGATTCAATGAGGGTGGTATAATTATCAAGGATATTGGAACTGATAACGGGATAGATAATAAACATAGACAATTAATTACGTCACTAGCTTTACTAGCGTTTTTACTTTTTAAATTCCTTCAACATGTGACCAGTTCTTTTGTTCAAATGAATATTCTTTTTTTTGACTCAGCTGTTTACAAAACAAACTAATATGTTGTTGTGTTTACTTTTCGTTGTTTAAACTTATTTATTTAGCAATTGGTGCAGTGAAATTGACATAAAGGATGTGTGTGGACGAATCGTTTAATGATGTCAGGACACCAACGTTATAATTATGTGTACTGTGAATTTTATTGGATGTTTTCGTTTTATTTTAGGGAGTTTCAACTCAGACCTACTGGAAATTGTGTATAGTATGAGTAATTGTATTGTGGTAATATTGATTATGGAAGAGGTAGGTATGCGATGGAAGGTGATATCATTAACTAGGCCTATACTCTTCTCAATTGATAATTACTCATTCTACTGTAGGCTGCAATAAAAATTTTCTTTATACGTGTAAACTAGCTGTTCTGAATTATAGGCCTAAACCGTTTTAACTGACTACTCCCGTACGTAGGACGGGCTTACACCTCGTTTTAGTAAAAATACTTTAATCATACAAGTTGAAATTTGCTTTGTGAATAGTTTTGCTGCGACAGGGTATTTTATTTGTAGACCCGAGTTATGACTTGTAGTGGTTTTTAACTTGAAGTTGAATGGCTGAGTGGTCAATAGTCTAGCTAGAACATTTGAGGTATCAGATTCAAGTCCCCAACTTGGAGGGGTTAATTACAAAAATTTAAAAATGCTGTTTTAATAAAACAGTACTATTGAGTACTGGCATAGACTAATCAACACGTATGTTTTATCTATGGTACTGGTTTTCTAAAAAAAACTCTTTATTATGGTTGTTATTAGAACAATCTCATACCCGACGATAATAAACAAACTTATATTTTGGTAAAGTTTTAAAGCTGAATCTGTGCAAGCAAGTTGCGTTGGCTGAGTATAACTGTTTACAAAGAGGACAGTATACTCATCTATTTACTTATTTAATACGCAAGCAGGTTTTTTGTGACAATTACTCCTCCGAAACTACTGAACCGATTTACATGTTTCTGGTGTCATTGGAAAGAGCCTAACGTGAAGTTGTGCAGGAAACTTTCTTTTTAGGGAAATAATTAGAGAGTGAGGCCCTGGTACCCTTTAAAGTTTTGTATTTCTCCATAAGATTAGCATGGGAAACAAAAAATTTTTATAAAACTCCAGCTGTTGTCAGAAATTAAAAATGAGAAGAAAAACCTATGTAAATTGTAAACCGTCAATAATTTTGCTAATTTAATAGTATGAAATGAAATATTCACTATTTGAATTTGGGTTTGCATAAATATTACAATGGAAAAAAGCGAGAGAGCTGATTTACATTACTCCTGATATACTGAAAAAGAAAAATGAGTTAACAACACTGTGCTGCATTTCTTAGTAATCATTGAACGAGCCGATTTTCAACTATGGAAACATAGGAAAGTTATATAACACCACCAAGGTGAAGAAATAGAAATATTGTTAAGAAGAAACAAGATCAGCTTTTGAAAAGTGATAAGATATTTATAAGAAATGTTGATTCTATCTATCTCTTATGTACATCTTAAAAATGTTATAATCTTTGAGTAGAATCTTTTAAAGTAATCAGAAATTATGACTGTTATTTGTATTAAAATAACGCCTGTATATATAGCAATTGCTCGAATTCGAGCAGCAGGGACACTAGTATGCGTAAAAACGGCGACGACGCAAAGATAGAATAGAATCAACCGAGAGGAGGGGAAATATCGATCGATGGCTGTGGTGGGAGAGCCGACGACAGGTTGAGCCGTTGGCCGCATGGCCGCGCCACTGCACGGCGCCTTGAAGAGCGCTTGCAAGCCTTTCGAGTCTGCGTGATTACATAGTTATCATTCAACTTTTTAGTAAACTAATTCCAGGTTCTTGTTTTTAAGAATCTATTGCACGTCTCCCGTTTTTTATTTTTTCTCTAAAAATTATTTTTATGTATTAAAACTCATGATAAAGAACGCCTCTTTTAACATTTTTCACCAACCTTTGAGCCCAAAATTTTTTAAATTATCAAAATTTAAAAAAACGGGAAACCTACAATAACATTTGACGGAAAATATGACACCAAGATCTTTTAAATCGGTTCACAATTGGGGCTACAATCAGGAAGAACTAAAACCCTTACATTTGCGCGCGCCAGACGGGTAGAGCGCACCCTTAAAGCTTTTATGTCCGCAAGGATCACGCTCACAAAATTGAAAGATCAGGCCTACGTTTTTGCCGAGATCGCGGATGTCGACGAGAACATTTCCCAGCGGGTGACGATGAGGATGTCTCCGCGGCCGCAGGAGACATTCAATATTTTGCCGGATTGCGGAAGACGTCATTGACGTTTTCCTGCGAGCGAGATATAATTAGGATTTTGCCGCGATTGCGGAAAAAAATTATTTCCCCGTCACCACGGGTCGCGGGGCGGGAGATATTAGGGATTGGGCCGTGAACGCGGGAGACGATAATGTTTTTATCTGATGATGTCATAGTTCATTTTACCGCGATCATGGAAGACGATGATGACGCCTCGGGAGATGCCGTACCAAGCTAAAGTGCAAGTTTAGGCGGTAATACATGTGATATATTTTTTAAATAATTTAAGATTATTGGGAGGGGGCCCGGTGAACAAACTTGCGGGGGTGGCCCGCGGGCTCTTATCGCCGCCACTTGTTAGGCCTAGGCCTAATCGATGTTTTTTGTCTGCTTTCTGTACTTCAATAGCCAATTAACCGAAAACTAATACAATTCAGTTGCCATGAAAACATCGATATTTCAATAATTGGCCATAAACATCTATGTTCGACGAAAACGTCGATATAACAAAAACATCGGTACTCCACCATCGATGTAAAAACATCGATGTTTCAAACACATCGACTAACTTATCGATGCTCATCCCTACCCTAGGTACTTATAGTCTAAAACCTGATAAATTGTCATTCAGTGTATAAAACTTATAACCTAGCTCCACATTAATTAAAACTAGGCATAAATGGACAATGGTCTACATTCAATACAATAGGCTACATAAAGGTAGGAAGTCTACTGTATTGTATTGTTACAGTATTGTAACTTAACTCATAAAAATTAGTGTTAAAATCGAGAACAAGGCCTTTTCAGTTTAAGTAGAGAGTCTCCTACTTTGACAGTTAGTAGGCCTTATCATAGGCCTAACCTAGGCTTAACTGACAGTTATTTGGATTAGGGAGCCTTTAGATTATATAGAACACATATTCGACCTTGTTTCAACTCTTTATAGCCTACAAGCATGTAGAGACATCAAGCTAAGAACTGGTAAATTGTTTAACAACGATCAGTAATTGGTAATAGGCCTACTTGAACTCAATCAATGAGCAGAATTTTAAAATAGTTATGAAGTCATAGCTTTGATGATGGAAATCAACAGGTTATAAATTTGAGGTCTAGGACGCACGTTAAAAGAAAAGCTTACCTCAGTAAATAGATAGTATTATTCAATCCAGTGATTGATCTTGACAAATACAATGGAGTTTAAATACACTTTTTAAATTATTGTTACAATAAAACACTACGAACGAACTCACCAAATTCTTAACAACCCTTAAACATTTGAAGAAAAAAAACAATAATTAATTGTTGTCAAAGAGTGACCAAATCGCATACATTTTTCGTTAGTTAGAATAAAGAATCATCCCTGCTACCAACATTACAGATGTTGAAATTTGATATTTTAATAACTGTATAGAAAGGTAACTATGTAATAAAATAAATATTTTATCTAATTCTAATGATTCAACCATAAAAAAATAAACATTTAACCATAATAACCCATTGAATTTGGCTACAGTATTTATTTATACAAATCCTAGTTATTACTGTACTGCTATCTATGTGAATAGATTATAATAAATTGTATAATACACACCAATTTATTATATTATTAATATTTATTGTATTATTATTTCATTAGTGTTGTATCAGTATTTGTATTTTTATGATATAGTTAAATTTATTATTAGTGAGTTTCCCGATAGGGAATAAACGTAGGTGGCATGACAATACCTTAAATACGGACCGATTTAATTTGATGTATACAGAGGTAAAAAAACACAATTCGTTCAAATTATTCATATGTGCGTGTGGGTTTGAAATTGGTGATGAACTAATTTTTCAAATGTTTGCACTATAAACACAATTATGTATAATTTGAATTAAAGCTGTCGTGTAGAGAGCTAAAAACGAAAATTTTTATATCGAGGCATTATTGTAGGAAATGTATAAAATACGGTGAAAAAAACAGATGTAAATTTTTATACTCACAGCATCGTTCTTATCATATTAAAGTGACCACAGATTGAATATACCTTAATTTTAGGGTCTTTAACTGATCCATTCGCAATACGGATAGCTTTTTATTCTTTTTTACATTTTTTTAGTTTCAAAACTGTACTACCTTGGGTACTACTATCAAATAGCTTGTTTAGCTAGCATCCCTTTATTTTAATCATTGAGTGATAACTGATAAGTGATTTTAAACCTAAGCATTTCTCTATAAAAATCTTCACATTGTATGGACTATACATTTTTAAAACTATAATGACTAAAGACTGAAATTAATAAGAATACAACTCCAACGTTGGGAGCCGCACGTAACTGCAATACTGCAATACACTTTACATCGTAACTACCCAGCCAATAAGAGCAGGGCATCAACTACACATTTTTCTAGGGGGGTGGGGGGCAAGTCCTAAATATGCCACCCTTTCGCATGCAACTGTGGATTTTTTTCTAAGTGCCAGTGGCATTTTACTGTCAGTCTTAACGAGATACACCAAATCTATTTTTAAGAAAATGGCCCAAAGGTTAAATGATAATTTTATATTACGTTATTAAAGATGTAATCATTTTAAAAATTGGTATATTAGTATGTAATTCTAAAACCTGTAATAACAATTTGTATAATAACAAATAAAACAAATTATTTAATATTTGGTTATTAAATTACCGTGAACATACAGCCCTCTATGAGCTACAGCGTGTTAAACTTTGGAAAAATAGCCAATGGCCATAATGACACAGAAAGCTTATTCTTCAAAGTAGGCTGTAGCTCCTAAACGAGTAGGTTCACAGAAAAAATTCCCAGAGTAAAAAAGTATAAAAATTGCCTCTAGATTAAAGTTATTCGCCATGTTTAAACAATAAAATTACCTAATAAGTTTGTCAGCAATAAAATGTAAATATTTAATTATTTGATTTGATTTGTCAACAAGTACGTTGACTTTCACCACAGCTGATATAAAAAGTTTTTGGGTGTTTTGTGTGAATTTTAAAGATAGTAAAAAGGTGTACAATTTTTAAGCCATCATAATAATAGATAATAATTGATAAAAAAAGGCACATTTGGGATTATGTAATATTTTAGTTTGAAATAATCTAAAATCGCTTAAAAATAACTTGCAAAGCGAACGAAGACCGTTGCATTGTTGTAGCAGACTTTAGCCGCATGCCTCGGCATGCACTACAACGTGACCTCCAGAGGTCACGTATTACTAAAACTGTCATATTTCAGTTAATTTTCGTCCAATCTAAAAAAGTAAGAAGTCTCTTGATTTGTAATTAAATTGCCTTAAAAAAGTTATTGTAAAATGTTGGTAAAATTAACGGTTTTGAGTTATTTAAGAAACAAAATTTTAAATGGCAGCCATTTTGGTTCCGGGGGCGCTGCCTTGCAACTTTTCGAATCTTTACCTAAAGGATAGGAGACAAGTTGTGTATATTGATGGTGTTTAGTCTCAAGAGGTTTACTTGAAATATGGTGTTCCCCAATGATCTGTTTTGGGCCCTCTGTTATTTTTAAGTATTAATGATTTATCTCATAATGTGCGATGTAGAACCCTTATTTACGCTGATGACACGACATTTGTTAACACTTCCAGTAACTTGCTGCATTTAAGTAATTTGGTAAATAACTCTATAGAAGAAGCTTCATCTTGGTTTAGTTATAGAGCTAATGGCTATATCTCTTAAATAAAAATAAAACTGAAAATAATTATAGTATTCTCTTTGAGGCCTTATGACCATGAATCTTTAGCTATAGAAACAGCTGTCAATACTAAAGTTTTTAGGTGTATGTGTTGACCAACAGCTTTACTTGGAATACAGACTTTCTAGAGTTGTTTTCTTATTGGGGTGTTTGAAACACTGTTTAACTCCAGAATATATCCGAATGGTTTATTTTGCTTTTAATTATTATTCAAGAATTGAAGATTGAAGTGTTAATATTACATAAAAAAAAGCTGTTAGAATTATTGATGGTTCAGCTGATCTTGAACATTGTATGCCTATTTTTATTAAATTAAAGGTTTTTACTGCTATTAACCTTTATATCTTAGAACTTGTTATTTATTCTTTAAAAACAAACTACCAGTCATGGTCCTGAATGAAGATGTACATCCCTGCAATACTCGGTGGTAGAGATAAAATAAGTTACCATCCAGCACCTCCGTTTGAGCAAATCTTTAAATATCCATGTTGTTATGTGTAAGAAAGCTTATAATATAAGGTATATTAATGTAAATAAGTATCCACAAAAATTATTTAAAAAAAAATCAGTGACTGGCTCTTAAGAAATCCACCCTTTAATAGTTTCCTTGTAGCAGCAAACCTAGATACTCGTTAAGCCTAATGTTATTTAAATTAATTGATAATCAATGCAGACTGCTTGATTATCAATCAACCAGACCCGGTTTGCTGCGGTGGGGGTATTAAGCTAGTTTTTATTGGTTCTATTGACCTGTACAATTCCTGCTTCTGGAGCATGGACGGAAACTTCAAGTATGCAAGTAAGTAAGTTCTCGTATACATATTCAATGGTCATATGCAATTTGAACCATTATACCTCATTTAATTTTATTCTACTAGATTGGTTCCACTGAATGAATAGCAGAATGAAGTGAGCTGTTGGTCTTTCTGTTTAATGCAATGGCACCTTTCAGTTCATCGAGGATGTTGAAGGTTGGTTATTTGATGTATTTTGTTATTTTTTGGCAGAACCTTTTTAATAACTCATAACCTAACTGCTTGGTTTGTTTCAGAAAACCGTTGAACTTTTCTCTAGACGTGGGTTCTCCACTTCTAGAGCAACATGTGCACAACAGGTATCTATGTGTCAAGTGTTTATCTTGGAATTACTAGGCTATGTCACATTTGCCCTTGTAAGATTGATGAATGTTATGTATGAATTAATCCTTTCACTAGAAAATTTTGACCGTGAATGATCAAAGTACAAACCTGAATCACCAAAACACACAAAAAAAAATAGGCCTATTTAGAAAATAAAATAAGTAAACTCTGTAAATAAATCAGTAGGTCCATTAGCTGAAAGGCTTAAATTAAGTAAGTTAGGCCTACTATTGCCTTTTCCCATAGTTGTAATAGTTTTTCACCGGTACTCAATAACGTGCTCATCGATGTTAAGGTCCAAACCAAAAGTACAGGGGTTTTTTTGTATCTGTCTACAATTGCTGTAATTGTCAACAGTGCACTCTATCTGAAATGCATATTCTAGAGCAGGACGGCACATATTTCATCTCCTTCAGGCAGTGGTGTAAGTTGGTCAGTCATAAATTTTACATTTCATTTCATTTCATTTATTTCCTACGGTTAAACCAATTTTACAAATTTGTCTACATCAAGATAATAATACAATAACAATAACAATAATAAACAATAACAATAACAAGAATAACAATTTACAATTCTAAAATGCATAGCAGAACAACCATAACAATATAATATTCAATGCAGTAGCAACAAATATAAATAGAAAATTGGAAATTACATAACAATAACATGACTGTATCAGCACTTGTAACTTTTGGTTGTGAATCAATCATTATTTACAAGTATTTACAGGTAATTTACAAGTTTAATAAGCAAGCACTACAAAAAAACATTGATAATTATTCAATACAATAGCAACAGATAATAAAGAGGATACTCAAAGATAACATAATTATTTACAGCATTAATTGCCTGGTACATTACATTATTAAAAATACAGTAGCAGAACAGATGGCACCAATAATAAGTAGAAGAAGTGTGTTTGGAGGAAAAGTGAGGAGACCATGCCCTCACAGACACTGGTGTAGCCCTTTAACGCAGCTACCAAAAGATAACAAACACACTACATTATATTGAAAGAAAACTATGAAAAGTGAGGAGACCATGCCCCCACTAAAAAAAAAAAAACACAAACACTTAGATGTGGCCCTTTAACGCAGCCACCAAACACCCAGCACTACACAGAAGCTCAATTCCACCACCAACGGACCCAGCCACTTCGTACTGTACTTGAAGAAGACTTTCCATCTATCACTGCTCCAAGTAGAGGACTGAGCGTCTAAACGTACCCAAGGAGTCCGAGAAGAAATCCACCAGATTGCAGACCTCGTTACCAGCTCTCAGCATTCTAGGAATAGGACTATGACGAAGTTAGTTAGTGCTTCTGAGTTTCAGCTCAAAAAGGCATTGTGCTCTGGTAGGTGAAGGGGTCCTGAAGTTGACCAGATGAAGCAGGTAGGGGCAATCAGTAACTCCATTTATCAGCTTATAGAGAAATACCAAATCAGCAATCAGGCGTCTAGAAGACAGAGACGGTAAACTTAGGTTGATTTCGAGCTCGGCAATAGGAACCTCTCTGTAGGCATAGCCATTCTTCACTCCCAGTATTCTTATGAATCTTCTCTGTATTGACTGAAGCTTATCAATTTGTCCAAGCTGATATGGAGACAATATCGAGGAAGCATATTCCAGGATCGGTCTAACTAATGACTTGTATAACAATGTCATAGTCCGGGTGTTGAGGCCGAATTTTCCCAGCCTAAAGACCAAACCCATCATTCTTGATGCTCTTAAACAAATACCATCAATGTGAGTACTGAAGTTCAGAGAGGAATCCATATACACACCAAGATCTCTCACAATATTGCACCTTTCAATGAGATCACCACCCAAGTACAGGTCCTTGGCAATTGGAGATTTTGTTCTATGAAAAGTAATGTGCTTGGATTTGGAAGGATTTATTTCCATCAGGTTTGAATCACACCAATTGGAGAGTTGGTGGAGCGAAGCCTGCAGCAAACGAAAGTCATCATCTGTTCTTATTGTCTGGTATAGCTTGACATCATCAGCAAACAATGAATATCTAACGCTCAAGTTTTTACCAATGTCGTTGATGAACAGCACAAATAAGAGTGGTCCTAGCAGTGAGCCTTGAAGAACACCTGACGTGGCAATAAAGGAAGCTGACACGTTAGAGCCATATTTTACAGCTAAAGTCCGATTCTGTAAGTAACTACCGAACCACTGCCACAGATTCCCAACAATTCCATAACCCTGCAACTTGGCAAGAAGGTAGCTATGGCTGACCTTGTCAAAGGCTTTAGCGAAATCAACGTTTATGGAACGCCTACCATCATCTGAGAACTGATCAACTTTGGTATCGTTCGCAATTTCAACATGATTGTGGAAGACAATGATGATGTCTCCACGACCACAGTAGATATTTACAGGTTTTCTAAGACTAAACTTAGAAGCTTAAGTTATAATTTCACTGTGAATACGGGATATTTACTGATTACCGTGAAAAATTCCCATGATTGTGGTGAAACTGTGAAAAGTTCTCAAGATTTTTCTGCGACTTGAGAACTTTTCACAGTTTCACCACAATCATGGGAGTTGTTTCATGTAGACTTTGCTGCTTCAGCCGAGTACCATGGTGATATCTCCATGACTGGGAGTGGGGTATTGAAGGTGTGACCAATTTGCGGTGACCATGGGAGATTTTCTCAATTTCACTGTGACTGCAGAAGACATTCATATTATCTCCACCTGCATAAAAGAATTGTAGAACTGTATTTTTTTAAATTGTAACTTATTAAAATTAAAAAAATTAACTCATTCATAGCTATATTGTTGAGTTATGGTTTGGAAAAATCAAGTGTCAGCTATTAATAGGCTATAAGTTATTGAAGCGTTCCTGCCCTACTACAGCCAGGTCTTTGGTTTGCATGTAGCTTCCCCTACACCTACCTTGTGGGGGAATTTTACTCCTTGTGTCCCCAACAAACCTAAACCCTATTAAAGCGGCCCTGACTACACCACTGCCTAAGGTTGAATGATTGAATGAAAATCCTTCTTTATTGAGGCGAACTTAGGTAGTGATGTGACGAGTCGAGTACTTTCCCGACTTGAGTCAATTTGACTCGATACCGCAACTACTCGAGTCGGTACTCAAATACTGGACTCGATTCTTACCTGTATGGCACCGAAGCTCTCTTGACTCGTAGCTGCAAATTCTGGAAAGTCATCTTGTCTTGTGACGAGTCCCTTTACTCGAGTCAGATGTCAGACAGACTTGGACCGGACTCATTTTATACTCAGTCAGTCTGTGTAGATTTAAGATGAGATTGAGATCGGTTATTCATCTCACATTGAGTAGGCCTAATCATGGATTTTATTGGTTATTATAAAACTTTGTTGGATTAACGAAAACGATTTAATAACAAACAGTATCTTGACTCAAGTAAGCCATTTACTCGAGTGCTATGTACTCGTAGCGGATAGTTTTGAAACTACCTATAAATTAATATTTTGAACAGACAACAGTGTGTTATTCCGAACTGTCAAGCACACAAGGGCTGTCAACTCGTAGTGGCAAAATCTGGAACAACATTGAGTCTCGACTCGAGTAGATGTGTATTAAATGCACCCAACCCAAGCGCTATGGACTCGTAGCGGCGGATCTAGTAAGCTTTAGTTCACGAGTAATAATATTCGAGTATCGCCGATTTGGTAGTGAGTCGACTCGATACTTCAGTGAACTCGATACTTCAGTGGACTTGATACTTAACGAGTCAAGTACTCGACTCGTCACATCACTAAGCTTAGGACCTCATGGTCCTATCTTACAGTTAACCTCTAAAAAACTAATAATAACAACAAAAATACAATAAAAGTTTGTAACATAACTAGTAATAAAATAGCATAAATTTATTCATCTTCCTTAACATACAGTCACACACACATACACCCTCTGCTGCATCTAGGCCTAACGCCCACCATCCCTCCCGCCAAGCCACGGTCAAGGTAATATTCTTTCAGCGCCACCATCAGTCAGGACCGGTTTTCTATGGATTTGATGGGAAAAGGTATGGAGTTCCATAGGCGGCACTCTGTTGCTAAAAATGATTTATTATAAACAGTTGTTCGGTGGTGAGGAATGCGAAGCGTGGACAAGCCAGAGCGGGTAGGCTATCCCTTGCGCCTCTTCCATTCAAAAATCTAAAATTCTTCGCAAGATAATTTGGAATTCCAAGATTGATGACTGAATGAGAACGGTAATGGAAAGTATTTGTCTTTTTCTGATGTCCTCTAATTTCTTGACGTTGGTTTTTGATGTTGGCCTTGCACTACAAAGCCGGACATTATAATCATATCAAATCAAATCAAATCAAATCAAATCATTTATTGCCGTAAAACATACAAAACATACGTATGGCATCGTCATATTTTACAATAAATTTCTATTTACAAAACTGGACACCTTAAATAAGCAATAAATTCGTCAACATCATACACACTTAATTCTATCAAAAGAGATTTCAAATGCACTTTGAATTTCTTATCATCTAAGCATTTTACATTATGTGGCAGCAAATTAAAGATTTTCTTACCTAATTCAAAAGTAGATTTAATGGTAGTCTGATAATTACATTGGTGAATTCTGATAAAATGGCTCTGTCTGGTAAAGTATGAATGTACTGAATTATTGGCAGGAATATTATTAAGATTTTCTTTAATGTACAACAAAGAATCCAGTAAGTATAATGAAGGTACAGTTAACACACCAAGTTTTCTAAACAAAGGTTTACAGTGAGTTTTTCTTTTTACTTTACAAATGATTCTTAAAGCTTTCTTCTGCAAAATCAGTAATTTTTTAACGCTGCTGTCACATCCCCACACTACAATTCCATACGATAGGTGACTCTGAATGTGAGCAAAGTATATTGACATCAGAACATCAAAATCAACAATCAACCTGAGACGTCTAATCATAAAAATACCTTTACACACTTTTTTGCACACACTGACAACA